GGAAAAACCTGAAAATAGAGTGAGCAATCGATATTTCTATGCATATCTTTCAAGGCCAATTGCTTACCGAAGTCGGTCAATTTCACAACGCCTTGTTTCTCGAAGAAAACTAAATTTTCCGGCTAAAATAAACAGACGAACATTGATCAAACCTATTCTTCAATCATTCATTCTATTATAACATCCGTACTAGAAACAATCGTGCTACTCAAATTTACTTTTCTGTTTCACGTGGTTTAGATGTTCTTTATGATGAAAAGATAAACTTCTAGGACACTTTGAGATCTAATAAGATACTTTATTCGTACTTAACAACTTGAATCTGAATTGCAATGAACAAGTGACAGATGAATAGAAGATAATAGATGTTTTTCAAGTATCCTATCAGAACAACTGTCATCACTTTTAACATCCTAGTTTCTCTTGCTGATGATTCAAACAGATCACAAGACAACTAATCGTCGCACTCACTTTCAAATCACGATGACAAACTTGCATTTCATGACAGTATTTCAACGCTCGACATATTTGCCAAAAATATCGGCGTGCTAACGATTCATTAAGACCATTAACATGTTTCGTAATGTAGTCATACATATCACCTCCATCGCCCAGTTCCAAAATCAGATATAGTTTGCTAGGCGTATCGATAACTTCGTATAGGCGAACGACATTGGGATGTTGAACTAATTTCATACACATAACTTCTTGAAATAAATGCGCCTTTGATATATCATCTAGTTTATCCTTATCAATAACTTTCACTGCTACTTCCTTTTGGGTGAAGACATGTCGAGCAAGTTTGACGACAGCAAAATGGCCCGTTCCAATTGTTTTTCCTAGGGAAAAAGTGAACGGGAAAGATGAGAATTTCTGGCAAAGTTCATTGATTTACCAAGAGCATAGAGACCATTGACGGAATGCGAAGTATCCGAGAACATAATTGTGTTCATTTAATAATCACATCGTCTGTAGATTAGTTGTGTCTTACGGAAGAAACGAGATTCCATTGATTGGTTCTACAAAAAATACGCAAATGTTTTCTATGCGTTTCTTCTTTTTCTAAAACAAAATATTTTTGTTTTTTTCTTTTTCTTTACTCCTACATTCTCTCCATCGATCTAACCTGTGTGTATACAAAGACAATCGACAAAGATAAGAAATAACTAACAGTAATTGACCTTGATTTTCTCTCCTTCTATTTGACATGCATGTATGCGCATGCAATACATACTTTCAACTGAGATAATGGAGGTTATAGACATGGTATTCATGGTGCGTTGCAGAAGAAGGAGAAGTGTCTGTCTAGAACTTGCGACATGTAAATCAAGGAGTAATTAGTAGGGAAAGGAAGCTATTTCGCTGTCTATTAGCACTGCAGAGGCCATGAGGGCGTCATCACTAACAATCTAGCTGGTGATTATCATCATTATTTTCCAGCATTAGTGATGAATATGCTCTATCTCAACAAATCAGCGTTAAATGCATCGAACGAACGAAGTAGATTATGCTCGAGTTGATCGTTATAGTCTCTGACATACTACACTGATCTTGTCAGTCGAAAATCTGCCAAAGAGTATTCTTCTCATCAAGAGAGCCGTAGTCAGTATAAAATATAATAGAAAATGACGCTATACGCCTGCTAGTGAAATTCAATAAAAAAGACTCATGAAAGCAGAACACACGTGGGTGTTAATGAAAGAAAAACAACATTTTACATCGATATGCAGCGCAACGAACAGCATAAAATGAAGTAATAAGCAAACGAATACGACTACATATATTTCACTTCAGACAGTTACGTTATACTTACTTATGAGTGAGACTTAGATAGCAATCATATGAAATTCTAAAATAAAATTCAGATGATTAGGATATCGAAACTATCTGTTTGTATTTGTTTCTATCAGCTCAGACAGCCAAGACACTCAACAAGGAGAGTTTCAGTTATTTTTAGCGAAACCGTGTCTTGTTCTTTCATCACTGCTGATAGAAACTGTCGACGGAAAAGATGCGTTCTCATATGTATATTGAATATCTGATCTGTTCTGTATTTCTTATGTGAATGAAATGAAAAAAAAACCGAATATCTTTTTTCTCTATGTCACAACAAATAAACGAAGAAAAGGAAGAGAAAAAACTAAGATCCACAAAATGTCCGGGACACACCGGTAAGAGACGTTATATAAAAAAAATGTGTTATCTGGTAGTCGATTGATTGCGTTTTTTTATGGACATCTTAAGTCTCATTCAGTAGTTAGAGGAGAAAGATAAAATAAAACAAATGAGTTAAAATATCAGTAGAGAGAGAGAGAGAAAGAGAAAGGATAATCAAAATAAACATCGATTTGAATACACAAGTTTCACAGATAAGAGAACAAAGGGAAGACTCTATAAGAAGCAATTTCAATTCGCCCTTTCTTGCTGGAGTTGTTGAAGACGTTTAAATTCTTTTAATACAGGTAAATTAAGCATTGTTTCATTATCAATATCATTCCAGTTAATTGCTTTTGGACATGGAAATTTATTTTGCGTATAAATTATACGTTGTGGCGTGATAACAACATTAACCGGTCTAGAATACAATTAGAAAATGAAACGAAAATGAAAAATATATTTCAATGCTCATATCACATACAAATCATGTTCAGTCATAACTGATGATGGAAGGTCATCAAGTAATTGACTTTCATGTACAGTTGTGACAACAAGTGTTGAATCATCGCATGCACCCAATTGTCGCATCATTGCATATTCAATATCGCCATAACCTTTGCCTTTACCTGTAACAGAATATATATACATGCGATTAACGAAATGTTTTCCCTATAAGAAAGTCAGTGATGTGAACAACAGCTTCTCTTTGAACTTTTCATGATCATACGAAGAAGAAAACTAATTAGATTTAACGAGGACTAACTAAAGCAAGTCACGCGCTGGCTAGTAGAAGAGTCAGTCTATTTTAGAAATATGTTTGGATAAGTCTCTCCGATGTCTGTTGATGATCATCATCGGATATGAATCTTCATATGTAGTTCACTTACCTAAACGAGCACCAGTAATTGGATTGACAACAACTGATGCGACGACAACAATATCAACATGAAGATTTCCTACAGCTGTTAAGTTAACGATTGTTCCGAGAGCAGCAGTACCTACGAATTGATAATTTATGAGTAGTAGGAGGGCGAGTTTTACTGTGAAAACCTACCTGATTTTGTTGCTGCACGCGATAAATCATGAACATGTAAGAATTTTGGATCGAGTTTATAGAAGAGTGCATTGTCAATAGATGGTGCTGGTGTGAGAAGTACTTTGCCTAAAAGAAAAGAGAAAAAGAGTCTGAATGACCGAAGAATTGGCCTTTATTTTCCGTTGTTTTACCTTCAGCTAATGCAAATAAACGTAAATGCTCTTGAGCAAGACTGGGACAGATTTCAATGACACGTGCACGTTGAAATTCTTCCAATTGAGCCAAATTTGTTGAACAATCGGGATTATTTCGAAAATTGGGAATACGACCGTGAACTAAACGATCACATTTCATTACAAAAATCCTTGAAATAAATTCGAGTCATCAAACCTGGATGAGGATATAAAATTTCATTTTTCATTTCCATTACATCCCAAACGAGCGTGCGTGCACGTGCTTTAATCATTCGTTTCGCAGCATCGCTCTCTGTTTGAACTGATGTTTCATCGATCGTGTCCTTATACGAAGTGACCCAACTTTCCACATGAGTCAATTTCGATAAAATGCCTGGTTGTTTAAGTACACGATCAATATGTACTAATTTATGACGAATATCACGTATCGAAATCCATAAATGAACAAGATCGCGCTGAACAAATGCTGTTGCTGGTAGATGTTCACCGCCTGGATTGCCATAAGCCAACGCCATTTCTTTCATGGTTGGATCCGACGGCGAACGAAGATAACTTAATTTGGAATGTTGCCGTGAAAGTGGCGGATCAGGCTGATTTATGTAATTCAATTCAAGTGATGATATGTGTGGAATATATAGAGCACAAATACAGATATCCGTTTCGGGACCAAAGGCAATAAATCGACAATGACCTTTGAAATCAATCTGTACATATAAGAAGAAATAATTCGATTCGAAGTAAGATATTAACTGAATAGGTTTACTTTGTTTTCAAGATTTTCTTCGTCTTCCTTTTTCACATCGAATAGTTGTCGAAGAACAGGCGAGCCTTTGATGATTTCGCATACCGTATGAATGGAACCTGATGGAAGAATTGGTGAACAATAAGGTGTTAAATAGAATTCTTGTGAACGAATATTTGACTTCTGATTTGTACCACTAGTCAATGGTGTCGAAGGATTCACAGTTGGCGATGCTGGCGTTTGTGGGATAACCCGAAAGTCATATTTGAGAAGAACATGTGGGTATGATTCGAGTAAACAGACAGGTAAAACCACAACACGCATTTTGAAAGTTTAATGAATAAAGTGAAGATATTGACTTGTTCTAGAAGTAGATAAGAGAGAAATGACAAAAGAGAAACTTTTCATTTTCATAGCGTCAAAGAAAATAAATTATTGTTTATATTCGACTGTCTAACTTTTCTTTTCTCATCTTGTTCGTTAATTTTAAAAGGAAAATCTCTTTCTCACACACACTCTCTCTCTCCTCCATTTGGTTCGTCATTAACCAAAGAGCGAATTTATCGAAGATAAATATTGAAATTATGAATATTTAGAAAGAGAACACCTCATCGCACTTTATTTTTCTTCGTCATATGCAAAGTGCATAGATGTGCTAATTCCGCTCTATGCAAAACGATTGATTGATTATATCTATATAGTACATATTTATTATTTATTCTTTTTTTGTGACATCATGCGATAGTAGCTCTAATTGATGTTTAACACTTTTCTAGATAGTAGTCTTATCAGAAAACGGCATATTAAACTTAATTTATTTAATATCTAACAATTGGACATCCATTAAACAGGGCTTTGTCAAGAGAGAGATATGACACTCGAACTCATTCCGAATGGTGATCTTATTTTTAAAGGTCCGTTCACTGCGGTTTCGACAACAACGTTAAAACTATCTAACAGTGGAAATGAACGACTAGCTTATAAGATAAAAACAACTGCTCCGAAACGGTATTGTGTCAAACCGAACAGCGGTTTTCTCGATGCCAATGCAACTGCTAACATTCAAGGTAGAAAAAAAAACGAGATGATCTTTTTCGATAGACCACATGTCTCTCGTCGTTTTAGTTATGTTACAACCACAACCAGCAGGTCAATCTGATGATCGTTCAAAACATAAATTCATGGTACAATGGGTTGCAGTTCCAAATAGTTATAGCGACGACGTGGAGAATTTCGTATGAGAAACGTCTACTGGAGATAGGATAGAGAGGATCTGTTTTTGTTTTTGGTTTTCTAGTGGAAACAAGATTTGAAGAGTTTGAATGTTCAGGATTCGAAGTTAAAATGTGTCTTCGCCGAAGATCAATCAGCCGCAGTCGTACCTAACGATTCAACTGATCATCGTGGCTCAGAGACAGTAAGTTATGAAGAGAATTCGCCAACTAGATTAAATATCAATCATATAAATATGATATGGCCACAAAAACAAGCTAATAAGACGGATATAATTAGTTTTTCTTTCCTTTCTGCTTTATCATTGGAAATATTAGCCTGTGCAGTTTATTCGACTGGTTTCTTTTCTCCGCTTATGATAATATGCATTTGCCTATACGATAATGAGGGGAAAAAATGACATGAGGGTTTCCTCGAGGACACATCGATTAATGAATCACTGATTGTCGAAAATCTAATCGATATGATTTCTTTTGTCTGTTTAGAATACCACACGTACTGTAAGTAGTTTCAGTGTCGTTCTTCGTTTTTGTTTGCTGTTTATTTTGGTGATCGGTCGCAAACAAAACTGCTTGATATTTTTTTCATAATTGCTTGCTTGACTAACCCTGCGAGTTTAGACTGATTCAGCGCATGTTGTCGACAGCCGCACCCAACAAACCGCTTCATCAGCATCGATTTCCAATCAACGTTCATCTCCAATAACCTCACGTGCAACCAACTCTATTCAATCACAAAGTCAAGATCGACAACAGGTTCTCTTTTATACACACACACACACACAGACAGACACGTCATATTTATTTCATACTCACTTGCTCAACCTTTTGTTTATACGATATGAGTTTCGACATAACTTTACATTTAAATCTGTGCTTTAGGACGCAAGTGATGATTTGAATAAATCACGTCCTCGACAACAAGATATCGAACGTTTGAAGAGTGAAAACGATTTATTAAAAGTACACATTGTGTTTTGATTTGTTCTTTCCGAAATCTCATCGAATGTTTAGGAAAAGCTCAAACAAGCCGAAGGTGGCCTACGGCAAAGAACAACAGGCGGCAATTCCGCAGTCGACCGATCGAAATCCAGTCAACACCAAAATGGTCTCGTTCTATTCGGCATCGCTTTAACTGAGCAACTCGTTCTCGTGGCTTTTGTTATCGCATTATTATTTGGCTTTTCACTCGGTTATTTTTTCTTTTCATGTAGCAATTAAAATAAACAATATATTAACACAAAAAAAAACGAACACTCATAATCTTCTGCATACGCACACGCAAAGTAACCTTCCTTACTAATATTTTCTTTTTTGAAACGCACATGTATGAATTCTAACCTTTCTAAATAGGAAAAATAAATGTTAGACTTCTCTCGTCGTTTTCCGGTGTGTGCTACATGACAAGAACTACTTTTCTACGAAAAACAATGTGCGCGATGTCAACCTTCTACCTTTAATGTTCAACTGTTCGTTTCTTTCTCTTTGTCCAATGTAATCAATATCTTGTGCGTCTCTATGTGTAAGTCAAATGAGAATAAGTCATGCAAAAGCGAACACCAACAGCAACAAACATGTTATAAAACCATATGTGAACAAGTTTCTCTTCTATATTTCTCAACTCCTTCCTGATTGATAATTCTTCTTTTTTGTTCTTTGTATCTTCGTACTTATCTTAGTAAGAAAGTTCTTTATATCGTTTGCAAACCAACAAATCGAATGACTCTACAGAAGGTTTCTCTAATCTCTTTATTTAAGCATTGTTGTGCTGTTTACTTCACGTTCTCTTCTTCTTCTTCTTCTTTTCTTTTCGTTTTTCTGGAAATAAGTTAACAAACTAACATACTAAACATTTTGCAGTTATTACTTTTGTTGTCTTTTGTTTGAAGATTTTGATTTTGTTTTGAAAGAGAAAGAACTCGAAAAAAGAAAGACTTATGCCTAGTGAAATCATCACACTACAATTGGGACAATGCGGCAACCAAAGTAAGCCGAATACTGTACAAAAATCAACCTTCACTAAACGTAGTCAACACACTCTAGAATAATCTTCGTAGAATTTTGATTCTTCTTTTTCGAACTAAACCGTAATGTTTGCATGTAATTCTCAAGTAGAACTAAAATGACTTCGAATAGGCATGAGAAGTCCTTCGGAGTTATTTTCTAGTTTTATATGAAAGGATTGTAATTTTTAGTTGGTATGGAATTCTGGAAGCAATTATGTGCTGAACATGGAATAAGTCCAGAAGGCAAATTGGAACCGTTTGCCAAGGAGGGTTCGGATCGTAAAGATGTGTTCTTTTATCAAGTTAGTTTTCGAATGGTATCCTAAATATGAATGCATGCTGATGTATATCTTAGGCGGATGACCAACATTACATTCCACGTTCCGTTCTGCTCGATCTTGAACCTCGAGTTATCGATGGAATCCTAAAATCACCGTATAAACATTTATATAATCCGGAAAATGTTTATATTTCAAAAGATGGTGGTGGTGCTGGTATGTTGTTGATTCGAAACGAGGAATTGCATTGTTGAAATTGTTTTGCATAGGTAATAATTGGGCTCAGGGTTATCACCAAGGTGACAAATTAACCGAAGATATATTCGATATTATCGATCGTGAAGCTGAAAACGGTGATTCCCTTGAGGTTAGTGTAAATCACTTGTTACATTGAATGATTTTGAATGTGATTTTTCATAACTAGGGTTTTGTGCTTTGCCATTCGATTGCTGGAGGTACAGGATCAGGCATGGGTAGCAATATTCTTGAAAAACTCAATGATCGGTAAAAGAAACTTTTGTCTCGAAACAGGTTCACATCTCTGTTGTTTCACGTTCTAGTTTTCCGAAGAAATTAATCCAAACCTACTCCGTTTTTCCGATGACGAATGAAGTGGTAAGATCAAGTGCAACTAATTCCTATTCGATTCACTTTTACTAATGACATTTTGCAATCAAAGCTCTTTAACACAGCCGTTATCAGTTCTCTTAATGATGTATCAGATAGAATTCTTTGGCAAAAAAAGTACTCGCAGACAAGGTCATATTTGACATTATCTCGTAATTACAAAATGGCATAACAAATGTCGTATCGATTTTCATCTGGAGTCGATCGAGACTGACGCATAACGACAGAATTAGTTTAATTTCTCTTGATTGATTGATTGATTGAGCCTTGTTTTCACTTAGGCGGACGTCGTTGTTCAACCATACAATTCTGTTTTAACTCTCAAACGATTAACTGAAAATGCCGATTGTACTGTAAGTCAAATATTAACGAAGAGAACTAGTAGAGATTTCTCTTTGCGAAACGAAGGTTGTTTTGGATAACACGGCGCTCAATCGCATCGCTACTGAACGTTTGAAAAAGGCAACACCGACATTAGCTGAACTCAATCAACTGGTAATTTCTTTACAAATACATTTCATTGTATCATAAAAATTGTAGGTATCGACAATCATGTCGGGCAGCACATCAACACTTCGTTATCCAGGTTATATGAATAATGACTTAATAAGTCTTATATCGTCATTGATTCCAACACCTCGTTTGCATTTTCTTATATCCGCTTATACACCATTGACATCCGATAATACAGTAAGACGAAATTCTTCGATGAACAGAGCTTATCATTTTTCGGGACAAATGAAATAGGAGTCGGAAGTACGTAAAACGACTGTGCTTGATGTCATGCGTCGTTTATTACAACCCAAGAATGTTATGGTGACAACTGCATCTCGTGATAAGAACATCACTCATTGTTATGTTTCAATTTTGAATATAATTCAAGGCGAAGTCGATCCGTCCGAAGTAACTTCATTGTCTTATTCTCATTACTGGCAATTACGAATTTGACGTAGGTTCATAAAAGTTTGATGCGTATTCGTGAACGTAAGTTGGCTGAATTCATTCCATGGGGCCCAGCGTCCATTCAAGTGGCTTTATCGAAAAAATCGCCATATGTCACCACACAGCACCGTGTCAGTGGGTTAATGCTCGCTAATCATACCGGTATATCATCGGTATGTAATTCCCACTTTCTTTAAATAAGTGAAGTCAATCTTGTTTGAGTAGTTATTCGATCGAATGTGTGATCACTATGATAAACTTATCAAACGAGAAGCTTTCGTCGAAAACTTCCGACGTTTACCGATGTTTAAAGACAATCTTGATGAATTCAATGATTCACGTGAAGTAAGAAGATCCTTTGTCTAGAGTGTAAGATTGAGTATTTGAATATGCAGGTTGTACAACAACTCATGGATGAATATCGAGCAGCAACGCGAAAAGATTACATCAACTTTGGTAATACTCAAACTGCTCAGGTACGAAAGTGGATCTTTACATGAGACCTGTTACTGTAAAGTCTATTGTTTATTTCAGGGTGAATAGTTAGCAATCGCTTCGGTGCTAATCAAAATTGTTTTAAATTTGTAGCTTGCTTCTAATGATTATTTGTGTTTATTAATGAATAAAAATAATGTTTTAATCAGTTTCAAATAATGAAGAAAACGTACGCTTTACATGTCTGTTTTGTGGGACAATGTTATAACTATTTGAGAGGATTCCAACTAGTTGGAAATATAATTCATAAGGAGAGTATTTTATAATAACAAATTCGAAAAGGAAAACGGATTAAAAAGTAAATAGCTGCCAATATTGAAAGAATTTAGTACTCTGTAGATAACTAGCACAGATCCAGTTTCCAATACAGTTGACCATGTTTCCGTCGACAGATCAGTACAGCTGCAACATATAATTGTCGACTCTAGTGATCCTTGCAAATGCACTAGAACGATAAAAACTCATCCGTGGCGTTCCTTAGCTGTTATACTTACATCTAATGTTTTACTAGCTCATATTACCGTATGCATGGTTCTTTTTGGTCGTAGCAATTCCATCAAAGTAACTCCCACCAGTAGACAACACCACTCATTTTTCGACCACGCGCGCGCATACCGTCAACAGCACGAACATCATTGACATCGAAAATAACAACCAAACCTGTAACATCAGGTGCATGAACAACAATCACTAGTCTGTTCCTGACTCATGAAAGACTAAATGATGTCGAATTGAACAGGAAAACAATGACATTGGATTATAAATAATAAATTTGAGTCTGAACACAGTTGATGAATTGTTATAAAATCGAATATGATGATGTCGATCATCCATCTCTCACTTTGCTTCGGCAGTGTACTATAAAAAGTATAAGTAAATACGAGAACTTGACACATTTAGATAAGAGAATATGGAAAGAAAACTCACTATGATGGCTAATAGACAATTAGATTGTTTTTTTTTGCAATCCATGACGATGTAGTCACTATTCCTGCACACAAGTATCCTTTTCCTCGACTTTTATTTTGATTGGTACAATAGTATTTGTACTGCGAGTCTGTAGATTTTTTTTCTCAACATCACAGGTTCGTAACAAAACTTGAATGTCGATAGATTCGTCTCCACGATATTCTGCATACGTAGAACATTTACTGAGTGTGAGAACAGCCAAGGGGGAATCGAGGTAACCAGCTAAGTATTTGATGAAGATCATTCGACAAGGATGATAAGACAAAATGCGCAGAACATGAAAATTTGTATTTTTCAAACATATTGTTATCGGCATGAATTAATTGCCGTTGAATATCGAACATCAGAAAGTTTAAATACGATAGATAGTAATATTTTATTTTGCTATGGCAAATATATGATTATATTGATAAGTGGAAAGTGAAAATTCACAAATTGGAGTAATAAGATTGATGGAGAAGAAGAAGAAGAAGACTAATGCACATGATAGAAGAAGAAATTTAAAGTCTACATTTTCACAAAAAAACGTGGAAGTCAAATGACAAAAAATTCTCATAAGATAAATGGAAGAAAATGATTGATCATATATACAAGTTTCCATGAGGATCAGACATCTTAATTTTGAAATTGGCTCAGAACGTGTAAAGGTTCAAGTCGTTTTTTGGTAGCACCTTTTCTTACTCGCACATCAGAATCATTCGGGCGATCAGTTAACACCAGTGGTTTCTTTTCTGGCAAACGCATCTTCCATTGAACAATTGGCTAAACAGAACCAATATGCGAGATAAACCATCAGTCTGATCATCATCAACATTACCTCTTTGTTTCCTGATTTGTTACGATATTTGGTGGAAGCGATATACGATGCTTTGACCGTGAGTACAACTGCACCCATTAAGTTTTTCGCTGCTGTAATCAACGAAGTAGCGCTGTCAAGCTAAAGAAAGGAGCAAGAGAATGAAGAATGTCGAGGGTTCGATGACTTACTCCGCTAACGATAAGTTCGCCACTAATATTTTGAACATCAGCTTTCACTTTACTTGTAATATCCAATTGGTGACAATAGAGAGTGATACCTAGAAGTAAAACCAGATACTAAACAAGATAAACAAGCGTTTCCTGTAATTACGATCGACATAAGCAGCAAGATCAGATTTTGATTGAGATTCGACACACTGAAAAGCGAAAACAAAGGTTGATTTTCGTGTGAAATGTCATTTTACTTGTGCAGCAATATCTTTCGCTAGTTTATTCAATTTGGATCCACATTCTGAGATCATTTTCGCGGCATGGATAACATCCATTGTTGTACGTAATGGTCCACGGCCCCTGAACGACAAAGATAGCGAAGTATTACTTGCTTTGAGGAAAACCCAAAGAGTTTTACCGGGTAAAGTCCGTCATTTCCATCATAATCATGCACATTTTTTTCGCAAGAACAATGATATCATTGCCACGATCATCCCATTTAAGAACTTCACGTTCGAAATCACGTTTTGTTCGTTTGAAGCCTTCAACTTGAAGTTCGATTTGCTCTCGTTCTTCTTTAGGTAATCGTCTCATCATGTCCTAATCAAAGCACGCATTGATGAAACAAAACAAATGAAAAGACATTGTGTGTCATACTCGACTTGGATTGTCATTATTGCCTGGATGCATTTCCATATCAGTTTGTTGACTATCCACCGATGGCCCGTGACTTGATGCTTGAGATGGAGCGTAGATTTCATCATTAAATCCTTCTTCATCGTCACTTGGCCATTCAAGATCCTATTCCATAATGAAATTTCATGTACAAATTTTGCATTTCTCGTTTATTTGACTCACTGGATTCATTAAGATACTATTTCGAATATCTCTTATACCATGATAGACATTGCTGGATGCTTCGATTAATTCTTGTTCATTTATTTCGTACTAGAATGAGAAAATGTTTTCGATGAAGAAGAAAACGAATGATTTACTTTGCGATCATCCTGTGTTGATTTCATTCGAAGAGTGTCAATTGATATTTTGATTCGTTCAGCAAAACTCGGCATGACTAAAAAGAGACATACTGTTCGAACTAACAGAAAATCGAAGAGCTCATCTCTACTTTGATCTCGAAGAACGCGAACACTTTCCAGAACAGTTTCGGTATATTCTCCAGGTTCGTATTTGTCCATTTCAGCAGCAACCACATCAATAACACGATCGGCTCGTCCACGAATCGCACCTGCAGTTCGATCGACACCTGAAATCATAAACAAATCTTCCTTAAATTTCCTCTCTATTCAAACTCGTGTCACATACGATCTGCATTTTGTTCGACCATGGCTTGAATGCATGAGTTAATATCTTCGAGTATATGATTTTCCGAAATAGCAAGAAAATCTTCAATGGTAGTTATTTCATCGACAGCTTCTGTAAGCAATCGCACGTGTTTTTCCCATGTTTCACGAAAGACATCCAGATTTTCTTGAGCAACTTTTGAGGTCGAACGAGCAGCAAGAATTCGTGCGGCACTCACCACCTACAATAGGCATTTCTTTGACGATTTCTTTTCTCCAAAGATTTAACAAAAAACTTACTTGTGGAGAAAGATGTTCAATGTGTTTTGCAGCTAGACGAACTAATTTGATTCCTTCAATCGAATCCGACATTGAACAAACGATATTTGCAACCTACGAGGATAAGTATCACATTTGAACGGACATCAATCTTCTAAACATACTTCAACCAATTTAGTTGCATGTTCCATGAAGATCTGTGCTGTTTCTTCCACGAGTTGAATATTCCCACGTCGTGCTGCATCGATAAGGGCTACAAGTGGAACGTTTGTCGCAACAAATGTATCACTAACATGATCGACAGCAGCTTTACGAAGCTAAACAAAGAATAAAGAACATTTTAAAAAAAAATCAAAATCTTTGACTACCGGCAAGTCTTTCACGCCTGTGGGTGTAAAAAATGAACATTCAATCGATTCTAACGATGATGGTGACGAGGATAATTCTCGGCACATTCGAATACTCGTACTTTTTTGCGTTGGACTCGGAAAAGTATCACACAGATAGACATACATTTTGACTCGTTTTATGTTTGTAAACTGATGAGAAAGACGCGTAATGAATTATTCAATCTTTGTCTATCATTGACGCATGATGATTATGATGATGATAACGATAATGACAATATGCATATTGACATTTTAGTCTGTCTCTCCATTAACAATCAAAACGTATTGACAGATGAATCGACTACTTTCGTAGCGTTTTACCTTTTTTGTTCATTCTCTCTTACTCGCCGCAAAGATTCATTCAATAGGGTAGGTGAATATAATTGAGTATCGAACATGAAAGAATAACAATCGGTTCATAGAAATAAATTTCATTTCTTTCCTAACTTTCTCGAGGGCGTGAACATATGGGATTGATGATGACAAAGCGAGAAAAAAAACATGTCCCATTTACCTGTTTTCGTAAATCACGAGTTTTCGTTTGCATTATCTGAATCTTTTCGTTGACATTGTCTTCCGAACTCTTCTTTTTCGACTAAAACAGATGGACCAACAATTCTAGTTGGGATGTTCCTAAGGTTTGAACAAGTTACTTACATATCGGATGTATTCATCCAATAACTCTTGCAATGCTTGTCGAACTGCATTGCACTCTTGAACAATTCGATCACGACGTTCTTCTCGTGTTGAGAGGGAGTCTGCTAATAGAGCAGCGCCTGAGATTATACTTTCGAGATGCTCTTCAAGCTGTGGTCGAACAACTTGTTCATTGAATTTCTGTGGCTTCATCATGACCACCCGCTAGAAGAAGGGAAAAAAAGATGACTTTCTTCTTAACAAATCTCTACGAATTACATCGAATTCGTTCAATGCTCGAGTGAGATCTCCGACGGTGTTCAATGCTGCATCTTGTTTTATCGTTTCTGTGTGACCTTGAGTAATTGAAGAAATCATGCGGACTGCCTCGCGTAATTGATTGTAGACAAAATCACGATTTTCACGTGATGATGGTATCTCCGGATGACGTAAATAGGTTTTTGCTGCAGTTAATAACATCATGGATGATCGTTTGATTGTAGCACGTGCTGCTGCTAAGCTTTCCTGTTCATCTCGATCCACTAAATCCTGAATGGAAGAAAAATACATTTTCAAATCTAAAATCGCACCGTTTTTTTTCTCGATACATTACCTGCTGTCGTCGCTGAGCATGATAACTCAAATTGCTAACATCTTTTCCATATTGTTTGTAGAACTGGACTAATTCATCCTGATTCGCTGCATCATGAATTTGTTGTAAATCATTTTCCACCTAAATCAATTCGTCAGAATCTGTTTGATTGCTTATAAAATCTTCTTACCAAACGAATAGAATTCAAAATAAGTTGCACATCTACATAATCAGCTAACATCAATAGACGAGTAACCGATGAAAGTAAAGCCCGGGCGGCGATAATCATCTGCTCGCGTTTCGATTTTGAACATGGATCATCAGCAAAGCCCTTTGATAGAACAGCCATTTCATCACCTAAATCATTTCAAAACGACGCCTTTAAATCGCGTGAATCATCTCTTCACTTACCTGCTCGTTTCACTTCATTCATACTCTCGATTAATTCATTTCTCATACCAGGATTTTCGTGAACGATTTCATCGGCCTTGTGGATGAAATTTTCCGTTGCTTGAATAACATTTGCAACTAGAAGATGGGCGCGCTTTGAACGACCTTTCTTCATAGCTGATGGTTGTTCCGATACCAACGAACTGACCTAAAGCCGATGGCAAAAAATCGTGAACTTTATCTCGAAAGCTGACATTCGTGATGGAAAGGCTGGCTAGACCTTTCGTATTAGAGCAAAAGCGAAGCATTTGACATTAATGGAATGGTAATTCACTGAGAATCTCAGTGAAATTCAAAGCAAACCATTCATTGGTCATTTCTATTTCAAGTATCTCGAGGTTTTTCAATTGCGGCGTTTTTTTTTCTTCGAAAACTTATTCAAGCATGCATAATAACGTCACTTCTATATGAACTCAGAAACGATGTTGATCAATTAACTAATAAGTTGTCCAACGCGTCATTGTTTAAATGAAGAAAACAAACAAACCTCTGCTATTAATGGATCCAACGTTCGTTGCACCGACCATGTTTTAATTTGCATTTTGCTTGGATTAAATTTCGTATACATAATTTATTTATTCAAAATTTAGAAATGAGCGTTCGAAGCACTCGTTTTCTTTATGCCAAAAAATGCCAACTTTGACAAATAGACAGAACATGCATGCACATAAACTTTTTTCTCTTTCTAGACCAATAAAATTCCTCTTTCTCGATTTCACTTCCAATTGGTTCATACATTTAACCTGTAGATATCCCTGATGATCTCACTCATTCATATTCATCTATCGATAGTATGTTTCTCTTTCTCCTCTTCTTCCACCATTGCGTTGTCGAGTGAACGTGTACACTGAGTTTTTTCCTCTTCGCTCCTGTTTAGTTACTTTCGTCATAAAAAGAGAGAAAGTCTTTCTTTCTGCTGCTTTCTTCTTCTTCTTCTTCTTCTTCTATTCAAGTACGTCGACGTCCTTCAAACACTCAAGTCAATATTTTTTTGTTTCGTCATTTAATTTCTCTTTGAATTTAAATTAGAAAATTAATTATCTCCTTTATCGTTCTCATTTTTAGATGAATGGTTATCGAGAGCGTCTTGGCCTCAGCCGACGATTCGAACCATCGAACACATCGATGGGTAAGTTCTTTTCGAATCGTCTTCGAGATTCGTTACATGTTGGTGGTGCCCTAACAACAACTGAACGAGGAAACTTCGATCAAACTCTACCAGATAAGGAAGCAACACCAGAGCCACCGATGAGTATATATGATGTCAATCGTTCGATCATCGCACCGATTCCGGCAACAAATGAATCGTACTTTACTCAAACGACACCTGATATACATAAGTTTTCTTGTCGAGTTGAACTATCATCAGGCTACAACATTCTCAAGAATCGAACTAGTTCACAACCAACACGTTTACCACCCGAATTGCAAGGACGTACTCCTCTTGCTCAATTGAATCCGTTACCAACGACGACGACAACAACAACATTGACACCAAATAATTCTGGTGATTACCGTCAAAGACGTCTTTCTTTCACTGATCATCATCGTACACAACAATTAGCTTATCATCAACATATCTCACAACAGTTCAACACTGATGGTACTCGACGTCCGTTTTCATCCGACAGTCCGATACCACCAGCACAGCCATCAACGGGTTTAACCTCGCATTACATATCATCTGCACCGCCTTTACACAATCGTACGACACACGAACCAATTGAGCCGTTGAAACTCGTAATGGAACAAGAAGATAATTCAATGGCTGCATTATCACGCGAATTACGTGCTGCTGCTTATCCGACCACACATAAATCATCGAATCATTCACCAACACGCGAAACATCGCCAACAACAACGCGCTACACCAGTCGATTGAGTTCGAAACGAGCACCACCGCGCGCATTACCAAAGATTCAAACCAATGATCAACAATCATCTCTTTCGACAACCAAAGTTGTACATCATTTTCATCATTCACATCATCAAGAATCGAAAAAACATTCGACAAACAATGAAGATCGTTCACCGAATTCCTCGTCGACAACAATTTTACTCGATCAATTTTTCCATGTGGAGCAAACACCAAACAAAGAATCAACTGTACAAGCGCATGAAACTATTCCTGTTAACAGCGAGAAACTAAGTAAATCAGAAGAGTTTATCGAATAGTCCTCTTAACGTCATTGTTTTGTTCTAGTTCGTGAGCAACCATCCATTGTACTGCTCAAAACTCCTCCACCATTGCCGGAAGATGCGACGATATCATTTGTATCGAAGTTCGCTCGTCTAGCACCCATCATCACTAATCACCCAACAAATGGGATTACGCCAGCCGTATCTGCTGATGAAAATAACAATAATGTCAATCGTCCGATTCACTTTGATATCGATCTACATGAGCAAACATTCGATACACTTCATGACATATCTGGATTTCACACAGAGAATGCAACAATTACAGATGATTTACTTCCGATATTCGATATGACTCATGATGATGATGCAAGCGAACAAGCAGATGAAAGTTACTCATATATACCCTTAAAAGAGCAACGAACGGCAGTAGATGATGTTCCATTGCTCGAATTGGATGAATTGGAAACGAACAGTGATATTAGTGAATCGCAACTAGTTCCGATTATTTATGCAAAAGAATTGGCGAATGAAATCGAGTTGTTACAAAGAGCACATTCGTTGAAACAACAACAACGATCCATGTCCACAAACCATGAAAATGATCGACTGAACGATAACAATTCTGTTCCACCACCAGCGAACATGGAATTATTGAATTTCGAAGCATTAGACGAAGAATTCTCGACTGTACAACACCGTGATGAAGATTCACCTTTGTCTTCAGTAAGAATTGCTTCAGCAACTATGGAAATCTCGCCATCACCAAAACCCGCACCGGATGAAGACGAAACTCCGAGTATGACTGTCATTCAGCATAGTACTCTTGCACATAATCGTCTTTCACCTTGGTTTAAATTACCAACTGAACTGTGGTTCAAAATTCTACCATTCTTACCAACAACTGATCTACATAATTTTTCTTATGTTTGCAAACGATTTTATTTACTTGCGCAAGATCAAGCGTGTCAACATCGGATTGTGTTCAATCGTCGAAAGCCACTCGAGCAACTTTGGTTCGATACTATTGCTCGACGTAAACCCAGTGCGTTGACATTCATTGAGCATCGGCAACAAAGTGCGGACAGTAGTCAGCAGCCAATCGAACACGAGTAGGTCACTTCGAGCAAAAAAACACTTCATTTGATTTCTTGACAAAAAACCTATTTTTAGTGCAAATCAGATCAAATGGAGTGAATTTTTTCACGCAATTGGTTCGAATCTTCTTGAATTCACTATGTCTGGATTTTATCATGAACCTCTCACGCCTAACACACTTCTTCCATTCATCGTTCAAACTTGTTCAAATCTTCTTTCATTAAATCTTCGTTGGAGTCGCATGTCTGCATCCACACTGAATCATCTCATTGATTATCCGCAATTTATTCATTTGCAAACACTGGATCTTACCGGCTGTCAAACATTGGACGACACATTATTAATCAACATGTTTATTCGTTCCGAAACACAATTTCAGTTGAAAAAACTCATTCTTGAAGGATGCATGAATATCAGCTGGATCGGTCTTGACACCATCGCCATCTGCATTCCCGATTTACTTCGGCTAAACATTAGTCGATGTATCGGTTTGAAAAATCTGTCATCCAATTCGACTTCTACCTGTTTTCATCATTGGCCCAAACTTCAGTCGATTGATGTTGGTCATCTAGTAACACTCACCGATCAAGATCTGGCAGTTATATTTGAACATTGTAAATATTTGAATACTCTAGTATTTGATGGTTGTCTTAGCATAACTGATCAAATATTTCATCATTTAACATCGAATTTTCGAGTGCTTAGTTTAAATGGTTGCACAAACATAAGTACGAATGTCTTATTGAATCTTAATGAACAATGTCCACAAATTGAAACTCTTCATTTGAATTCCCTACTGAACTTCAACGATTCCTGTTTGTTGAAATGGTCCGAACAACCGTTGATGAAACTACGACGCTTAACGATCGATAATTGCAAACAATGCTCATTAAATAGTATCGACAAGTTTCTTAGTAAACATGTCAATATAAGAGAATTATCATTGACGGGTGATATGGTAACAAATTTAATTGAACGAAAGATTTTACAAGAGAAATTTTCCCATATTCAATTTGTCTTTCAATCGTGATATTTAACGTTTTCTAGCATTTGTATTCTGGGCAGAACAAAGAAGAGCACAGTGTGTATAGAAATGTTCACAATTCTTTGCATGTTAATATATTTTTTGTTTTCTTGTTTTGTATGTTAACTGATAAATTGAATATTTATATTGACCGCAAAAGCAAATCAACAGTATAAATCGGCTCTCTTTTAGATTATCATCGGCAGAGTCTCTAAGCTCACTGAGGAGCAGAAAACACGTTGTCATGTCTATGTCGAGTTATAAAAATGTGGATTTCGATCATATTTGGCCTTCCGTTCTTGGAACTATTCACTCAGTGATCAATCGAAGTCAATATGGATCGACAGATATACCAACGTGGCAAACAAGATTCTTCGGTTTGATTCATTGAAGGAGAAAACAATGTCGTCTTTAATGATACTTTCTTCATATAGATATTTACAATATATGCAGTGCTACGCCCGATCCATTCTCAGAGAGATTATACGCTCATACGAAGACAGCTTTGGAGAAGCATTGCATATCAATGAATGAGGTGGATATTTCTATGTGATTGAGAATTAAATATCGAAAATTTGTTTTCGACTTAGGAAATCAACAAATCAGGACAGAATACATTGAGTGTTTACTTCAAGTATTGGAAAGAATATAGTATGGGTGCAAGTTATTTGAATAATCTCTATTCGTAAGGAAGAAGATGAGCATAGACATGAAGAAAGTGGTTTCTAATGATTAGATTTTTGAATAATCAACTTGTAAAGAAACGACCGATGGTGGATCTGGAAAACTATGAAATGTCAGAATTTCTTTCCGAACTTGATGAACGATTTTTTATTGAAATCGGCGAAGTAAGTTGAAGTGGATGTTTTTATTTAGAGCAAAGGTATTTCCTTTTAGTTGGCACTTGAATCTTGGATAAAACTTATTATAGAACCGTCGAAGGATCGACTTGTCAGACTACTACTCGAACAAATACGACTGTTTGTATTATAATGAGATTTTTGTAGGCAATAATCATCATTATTTCGACTTTAGGGATCGTGTCGGAGAGGGTGTGAATCAAACAACAATCAAAGGTGTAATTATGTCATTTATTGAGGTGTGTCAATATCGAAGACATAATACATTAAGAGTAAGACGATACATTCGAAGTGAAAATTGAGTAGAGTTGAGTTTCGTTTAGTTGTATGAGGAATCTTTTGAAAATCTGTTCCTACAAGAAACTGGGGAACATTACCAGAAAGAAGGAGATCGTTTAAGAGAGAAACTCGATTGTGTGGAATATATGAAAAAAGTAAGTAGCTTATCCAATCTTCTTGTCTGATTTATTCAACTGATTTTGTATAGGTTATAAATCTAATCGATGACGAAGAATTTCGCAGTCGAAAATATCTAAATTCAACATCTTATCCCAAAGTCTATCACGAATGTCTTCAGCATCTTGTCTGTAATCATTTAACCTTCATAACAGATGGATGTGATGATTTTATTCTCCAAGAAAATCTCGATGGTATGGAGAAACCGCTCTACATATGCGATCTTATCTTTACTGTACATTTCTTTCAGCTCTGAGAAATATGTATAAGTTATTAAAACCGACACAGGCTGGCTTAGACTATATGGTGAAGAGATTCCAAGTGAATATGACCAATATCGGACATGAGCGCATGCGATGCATCAAAGGAGAAAATGTAAGTCTGTTTGAAGAGATCGTATTAAGTTAAAAGAGATATTGATGTCTGTTGTAGTTGCCAGCATTATTTACTCAAGTATTATTGGAAATTCATACGAAATATCTGAATATCGTACGTGATATTTTCTCTAATCATGCTGATTTTATCTCAGCATTTGATAAAGCTTGTGCAAGCATTGTGAATATGAAATATGAAAATCGATCTCTAGCCAAAGCATCTGAACTAGTAAGTGTGATCGCATGAAATTTGATCGTAGACACATGTGCATTGATTTAGCTTGCCCATTATTGTGATAGTATTTTACGCAAATCATCGAAAGCAACCTGCGAGAGTGAAGTAGAAGAGAAATTGTTGGATGCGATAAGAATATTCAATTACTTGGATGATAAAGATTATTTTCAACGTGTAAGGTTCAATGAAAAGTCATTGAAAGTGTAGTAAATCGAAGTCTGAATTTCAGTTCTATCAAAAGATGCTCGCACGTCGATTGATCAATCAACAATCGACTTCGATAGACGCAGAAGAATTCATGGTTACGAGATTGAAGGTAAATCGTATTGCTACGAACTGTTCAGATCGAAATGAGGGCGTTCATGAATAGGAAATGTGCGGTTACGAATTTACCAATAAACTAGCACGCATGTTTCAAGATGTTAAAGTGAGCGAGGATCTATGTATGAAATTTTTCGAATCGCTCAAATCACAATCGAATTCGACCATCAAAAATGAAACAATGGCACATCTTCTCGGCTTGGATTTCAGTATTTATATTTTACAAGTAACGATTACCCTATTTTCCATCGTAAATTTCATTTTTTCCTTTTATTACATAGGCAAACTCATGGCCTGTCTCTCAAAGTCAAAATAATACCTTCTCTGTTCCACCGCTATTAGAAAAATCAATTCGTTCAGTAAGCTAATTCTTTATTTTCCATCCAAGTTCATTCAGACATCAATATTTTCAAGTTCGAACTATTCTATAATGAACAATACAGCGGAAGAAAACTATCCTGGCTGCACAATCTATCCACCGGTATATTCAACGAGATTTACCGGTCTAAGAATTGTTTCTTTTACTTGTAGTCGATGTGCGAATGTTTTACTTTGATCGTCCATACTTTGTTACTATGAGTACATATCAGATGGCGACACTAATATTGTTTAATGATCATCAGAAGCTGTCATTCAAAGAGCTTGAAGAATCAACGAGGCTCTCGACAAAAGAACTCGAAAAACAACTCTCGATTCTAATTGAAAATAAATTATTATTGCGCGATGACGTATGACGAATGTTTGTCTTTGTTCCTACACATCTACTCTCGATTCTTGTAGACCGAATTCCAACCTCAGACAATTATTTCGTTAAATACAGATTTTAAAAATAAACGAACAAAATTCAAAATATCGACAACAACTTCCAAAGAAGTTCACCATGTATGTATTCAAACGAACTATCATTTCGACAACACAATAATTTCCATTGCAGGACATCGAAACTGCTGAGCAAGCCGCAGATGAACATCGAAAGTTTTACCTTCAGGCTATCATCGTACGAATCATGAAAGCGCGGAATGTCGTGAAACACAACCAGTTAATCGAAGAAGTGTGTAAACAGTCCAAACAACATTTCACCCCATCGATCTCTCTCATTAAAATATGCACTGAGATACTTATCGATAAGCAATATATAGAGCGAAAGTCACCAGATGAGTATAGTTACATAGCGTAAGAGTATCTATTTCCGTAAGGATGATTTGGATCAACACAGCAAATTTTTGTGATATGCGAACTTCATAATAGGAAGGACGTCTGGGCGATGTTGAACGCTGATTCCTTGGCTTTTTATTTTTTCTATGTGCGTGTGCGAAAAATGATGCAAATTGATCATCTCTGTTATATTTCTTACAAATGTATTTTTTAAACTCTTGTCTTTCTAATTTGCCTATTTTGATAAAATAAATTTATACAGGAAAGTGACAACTAAACTTGACATGACGACGTTCGTTTAACATACACTATCTAGAAGCAAGCATCACAGTTTGAGTGCGCAATGAGTAAATCTGTCTTTTCTTTCACTATTTTCAAGGAGACTTCAAAATTGTACCATAAATCACTGCAGATACTTATGCTTCTAGTGGTTTATAATCGATGCATGTTACATGACGTTGTCTTTCCTCTTGATTCATTCTATGATAGTTGCTTGATCAATTCCTCTATTCTGAGTACTTGCCTTATGTCGGCAAGTTTACTGTTTTCTGATTGGTTGAAAGATCTGTCAAATGATCGTTATCGAAACTAGAAAAACACAACACACGCACACACTCGATGATCATCATGATCAATATTGGTGTTTTGTTTTGTTTTTCTTGTACGATAAAGGTTGCTTTTCGTTCTAAACTTTTTAATTTCATTTAGATGGCTAACAGCATTGGACACGAGAATGCTGTTTCACCATCTGTTGTCAATCATCACGATATCAAGCAATGGCAACACTGTTCACTATTCAATTTGGATCTCTTCACCGATGATAATAGTTCATTAAATCTGACAAAAGATATCGATAATAAGATCGTCGATGGTTGTTGTTGTTCATCATCAACACCGAACGTCGATGATTCTTGTCAAAAAAATCATTTGAATCATTCATGTTCATTTGTTGTCCTACAAAAGAATTACACAACACAACTTGAACATGTTGCCGAAACTTTGTTGGCGGACGGGAATAAAACACCAAATAATTGTTGTTATTGTTGCAATCACGAAGCGAGCGATTCGAAAACACAATCGTTGAATCGAAAAATTCTCCTCGGTTCAACAGCGATCCTCGATAGTTTACTACGTAATAACTTAAAGTCTTTGCCAGCATCGTCGCAACCCACAACGACAACTACCACGTTCAACCATAGTTCAAAAACAAATATGAAATCGACCGGAAATCAACGACGATGGCATTCAGAACGCGGCAGTCGTCATCCGAATGTTCGTGCTAACTTACCTTTAACACCCGCCCAACGTCAAGTTCTCGAACGTTATATGAACTATCCGTTAATAAAACCGCCGACAAATATCCGCTCGACGCGTCGATTACATCATCATCAACCGTTAACAGGTAAAGCAAGCGATGCCACTGGCACTGCTCTCTCAGCGCTTGCTGAACAACCGATGACAATGTCCACTACTGTTAACAATCTTCGTAAAAACAGTGCACCACCTAGCCATACGCGACCATTATCATCAACTTCATCATCAGCATCCGCCATCTCCCATCATAGTGCATTAAATAGACGATTTCTACCAGATACGATTAAATCTCGCGAAGTTTCTGACGAAGATGAGATCGACAACGATGATGATAATGACGGCGACGATGATGACGATGACTCAATTTCGTCTGAACTCGATCAGACTAGTGATGAAGAAACTAGTGACATAAATCCAACCACAATGATCTCCAACCATCCTGTGACAACATCGGAAACTCTCTCCGAATGTGCGATTTGTTGCGAAATGAAACGTCTTCAAAAACGATCCTGTTGCAATTTCAACGTCTGTTCAACTTGTTTAAATATTTATGTTGAACAACAAGTTAAACAAGGTATAGTGCGAATACAATGCCCCAATCAACAATGTCATACTTATATGCATCGAGATGAAATTAACAAACGATGTATATCGCCCGAATTGCGACAGAAACTGACGAAATTTTTAGTTGATGCTAATCGTTCGATTAACGTCAAAACATGTCCACGATGTTCAAATGTTCACGAAATTGGTAAGGAAAGGGTGTTTTCCACTGAGTAGTCATCACAATGATTTTTCTATAGATCTCGAAGTGTATCGCTCGATGCGTCGTGCGCCGACTAAAGTTCAATGTGTTGAGTGTAACTTGATTTGGTGCTTTCAATGCCATTCACCATGGCACGATGGAATACAATGTAAAGAATTTCGTCGCGGTGATCGGATGTTAAAAAAATGGGCACGAGAAGTTCATTATGGACAGCATAATGCACAGCAATGTCCTTCTTGCAAAGTAATACTGATTTGAGTTCGAGTATGACAAGCATATTCTTTTCGCGTACTGCAGGTATATATTCAACGAACAAAAGGATGTGATCATATCGTTTGTCTGCGTTGTAAAACAGAATTTTGTTATAAATGTGGCGGTCGCTTTCGAGATATTAAATTTATCGGTAAGATTCTGTTTGTTGAGGAAAGTTTGTCTCAATATTGCACGATTTGATTCAATTGTAGGCGATCATTACAGTGAATTGAGTGTTCTCGGTTGCAAATATCGTTTCTATCCAGATCGACCATTCAAACGACGACTCATACGAGGTTCCATTCTCTGCGGGAAGATTTTAGCCGCGCCTGTTATTCTCTGCTTGGCTATGGTAGCCGGCGCTGTTTGTGCTGGAATTGGATTACCTGCTTATTGTTGTTTCATGCTTATTCGACATATTAAGGTATGAAAGAGAAAACGAAACGCGATGAAGAGAAGAATTTCTCAATTTCCTTTTCTTAGACGAAACGACGCAGGCGTCATTCGAAATTGAAAGAACCTGTTTTGATGAGTTGTAAGTCGTTTACTTGTCTATTCGAAATACGAGTTACATTCGTGTACGTAGATAAAACATTGAATGACATGGTTCCCCAATTGATTCCACGTGATCCTGTGAACAGTGATGGTGTTAAGCCAGGTTTTAATTCAATTCGATCGAATATTCCATTGAACGAAACAGTCAACATAGATATAGATCCAGCTAATAATGCTCCTATTGCTGTTTTTGATGGTAAGAAAGGCAAGCATACATTTTTCAGTCGTTTCCATTCTTCTGATCATTCTAGAATGTGATATTCATATTCCGACAAGTCAAACAGGTACAGACTATCCGTTCAAAAACTAAATACTCACTTTTCAATTCTTTTCTTCAGAAGAAGCAATATCTATTCCGATCTCTTCTCTCTCATCAACTTATGTTCCAACAACATCGCCTAACTTCCCTCGGTTAACACCGTACACTACATCACGAAATTTGTCATCATCGAGACCTAATGTGTAAAAAAACAAACCTTCTCTCTTTCTCACTAACTGCAATGATACTCGAATGGTTGTTGCAGATACCAGATAGTGTGTATATTTAAATATCTTCTTCTCATAACAAATTAGTTGACCCTAGTCACACATCATTGCGCTTTGTTTGATTTTCCTCAATGAATTGTACACACACACATATACGTAAACGTTTTTTTTCTCTCTCTCTCTCCTATTGTAGTTTGATTTTACGCAATCTGATTTTTCTCTTTCTTCTCTTCAAAAAAAAATCATCAATAACAGTATGTCAGCTTTTGCTGTTGTATCTTTGTTTTTTCTTCTATATTTTAAAAAAATTTTATTATATCTATATAAATTTAAAAGACCACAAATACAGTTGACCGAATGAAACCGATTTGTTTGCTATCGTTTAGAGTAATCTAGAAATATGTTATTCGAATCGCATTACATCCGAAAAAAAAGCCAACCAATGAGTTCCGCTAATATCGATATTCCAGTAGACGGTCAAGCGCGTCACGTTCGACGAGAGTTAGCTATTTTATTTAACTACAAAACGGATTAGTTAGCATAAGAATTATTTTGTTCAGAGAAAATGTTAGAAAGACGAAAGAAACCCTGATTAAGCTGAGAGAAAAATACGAAACGATTAGAAAAATCTAAGTGCACAAATTAAAACAAAAAAGCATCACTATTTCACAGATAACTGTCGTCACGATCGTGAGGTTTTGGGGTTGTTCGCGGTGGCGCTGGTTGATTTATATAAGTTTGAGGAGGAGTTGTACTAGTATTCGTTCTTCCTGAGTTTGCAGTAGGCGCTAAATATGAATCGCGCGGATAATACGTATCGGATGTTGTTGTCGGACGGAATGTAACATCATCGACATGATGAGAATTCTGTGCACTATCGCCATCAAATGATGGAAGAACATCTACACCTTGCACCTCACCAAAACGCTCAACATTTTCACTCGTTGCATTTGCTTCTTGATAACGGTCGTATTCCAATCGGTAGTACTAAAAAGAACGAACATCAATATGTATTCAACGATAAGCAATTTTACATTAAAAATCTCTTCAGATAGCGTTCTCGAGTGACATAGTAGAGCACGTATTTGTGTCATTTCTGGTCGACGATGTTCTTCAACAAGACAGTCGCGAATAATTGCATAACTAAACAAAACGAATCCGATGTGAAGAAAAATGAGTACGTATGCGTTGGTGTTACATGTTTCGAGGAATTTCCGATTGATAATCAATATATTGGAGAACACGACCTTCGTTGATAACTAGAGCAAGTCGATGGAAGAACGTTTTACCGTCCGGTTGCTGTGCCATTTCTTGCAATAGCTTTTCAAAAGGACGAACTCGACCTAAACAAAAAGAAATATCATCTAGAATGACCATTGGACAGGCTTGTCCCTACATTTGAGAAATAGTGTCCATAAAAAGATTCCAAATGACCATCTAAACATTGGCATAGACAAAACAAAGATCGATGGTATAAACGAACTTACACATCGGACTTAATCGATGATTTATTTAACGCTAAATGTTCTCCTGTACTCGATGCGCGTAGATATACCTTCGCAAGTTCTGGCGTTAAATTGTGTGTAGCTAGTTCATTCTAATCCCAAAGAATCTAGGTTCAAACGATTTAATTCAACATTACGTACGCTTTTCTTTTCAAGTTGAACACTTTCATGTTGTGCCAATTGTTCGCGATAATCTTTATATGTTGTCCACGTCGCCAGACTAAATCATGGAACTTTCCTAGTCGAACTTCTCATTTCTAAGCTTCGCTTACCCAAAATCACATATTTTCATGACGAATCTCGATGTCACCAAGACGTTTCTTGATGCCAGATCACAATGAGCTATTTGTCTTCGGTTTAAATAGTCAATGCCACAAGCAACTTGATAAGCAATTAATTTCAAATCATCATCTGTTAGTTGACATTGTTCATATGCTTCAGCAACAGTCATTTCTTTGTTATTTTGCGTCGACAATGTTTGATACAAAGACGATTTGCCTTGATTTGCTCGATCTGACGGTGATCGATTGAAGTATTTTAACATGGATTCTAGAGAACCGTTTGAACACAGTTCCATTAGATAAAAGGAATCTTCATCTCGCATCGGTCCACCGACGAAGAGAAACTTAAATCTTGTCTCTGGATAAGCTACTTTCTTTAACGCAACAATGTTGACGTGCTTGCCTGCTTTATGCATAATTTTGATCTCTTCAATCAACATTTCTGCTGCTTTCTTCTTTTGGTTTTCGTGTTCATTTAACATTTTTTCGCTCTCTTCAAGATCATGACTTTTCTTTCGTTCATCGCGACGATATTCTGTTTTTCGTATCGTTTCCGGAAGACTCTTAGCAGCAACGAGTCCAACTTCAGGTAAATTCACTTGATACACGACACCAAACTGACCGTGACCCAACTGTTTAAAATCCTCTTTTGTTGCTGGTAAAATATCTCCATTGAGATAACCGAGAAATGTGCGAATTTGAGGTGTAGTAGCGAAGTCATCGGGTAACGGAGTTTCTTTCAATTCATGAAAAATACTTTCATGAACTCGGTGCTTCATCCGAAAGTACTTGATAACGAAGATTATCAATAAAATAATTATCAGGAGAAGAAGTATAACTGATATGATCACTATCATCGCAGTGAAACGGCCATATTTCAAGTATGGATTAGTACCTATTCAATACGATAGGGAACATGTTCTGGAAAAACTGACATTTACCTTTGACTCGCAAATCAAAACTTCGTTCAAGCTGTTGATCGCGTCCATTGTTCAATTGGCATGTATAGTAACCTGTATCCGTAGGTTGGACACGAGTGATGGATATACTACGTAGAATGAGAAATATTCGCATTTGTCTACAAAATTTGTTCGTAGGAATTATGTAGATACCTTCCGTTATTATCACTGAATTGCAATGTTGAATCATCGTTTTTCAATGGCGTCTTCCCTTTTAACCAGACTAGTTTCGGTTTAGGCCGTCCATCGAATTTACAATCGAATTCGACATTCTCTCCACTTTTTCGATCTAGCCGCAAAACCGTTGGTAGATTAGTTTTAAATTGTAATTGTTCAGGATCTACAAGTAGAAACCCCTTCTTGAGTCGGAACAATCAATTTTGTCTGTCAGTTTACCATCAACATCGATCAGGTACGTTTCATTGGCGTTCGGAATAATATCTGATCGTTTTGATAGTCCAATGCATTGAAAATATCCATTATTGCCTATCACTCTCAACACTGGCGTTTTAACTTCGATGATTGTACTATGAATATTTTCACTAAAGTCAAAAACAACGCCATTAAACTGAAAACCAAGCAATCCTAGTGGGTCTTCTTACTTCACAGGTATATTCCAATCGACATCGACCTGTTTGAATTGATTAGTGTCTTTGAGACGCCATTCTTGATCGAAGCGATTTCTTTCATAGGTGAATAAATTGTCATTGTAGATCATTTTTAAATCATCATAAACTAAATCGTGAGCTTCGCAGCGGTAAGTCAAAACATCGCCTGTTACTAGGCTGAACTCGGGTTTATGAACATGAAACATGTGACGATTGTGTGCGAGAATTGTTATTCCTTTTGCAATGCTCACCAATCCATTCTGTTCATAACAACAGAGGTACTGATGGCCAATCGATGGATCATGAAGTGCATGAGAAGCACTGCTAATAAATTGCGTTTCATAATCGGTGATACGATTCGATGTTGTGCTGATTAGTTGTTGATCTGACGAAGTTTGACAAGTCTTTCGAATGAGACTTGCCAAGCAAGCGTCAAGTGAACATTGAGAATAATGAAGAGAAACTCTCAATGGTCGATTGATATCGGCACGATGACGAATTGTACAAACAACACGATAAGGTTCTCGTTGGGAAACACCATAGGGATAGATGTTGATTTTATCTTTGTGATTTTCATCACGCCATGAAATAGTTTCAGTCTTTTGTTCAGGAACAAATGCGAATTGACCAACCGGATCACCTGAAGTTCATCACAACAATGCATACTGAAATATCTCGAATTTGTCTGACCTACCGATAATATTTGGTTTGATCACTACTGTCTTTGCTAACGCGGATGATTTCGCCGAAATCTTCAAATCTTTTTCGTCCTCGAATGTGATATTGTATATCGTTAACGAATATTCCAAGAATTGATTTTCTTGATTTGTTCTAAATTCAAATCATCCAACTTCGTGTTATTTCACATGTCAACAAACTCACATGGGTGTCAATTCGAAGCGTTTATCATTGTATAACGAAATGCCATTCCGTGATAATTCGAGGATGACTGTCGAGCGTGGAATTGTGAAAATACTTATATCGTAAACAACATCTGATCCATAGGAAATCTTGTCATTCGATTCTGATCCGCTTGGATTTACTTCGAGATCGAGTGACGGCTCTAGGAAAGTATTCAGAAATATTTGATTTTGACGAAGTTTTTTGTTTTCATTCGTACTGTCAACACAAGCGATATCGATCGAACGAGAATAAAGGCCTTGTTCAGATACTCGTACGCAATAGAATCGATAAACATTGTTTGGTTTGAAGCCACGTAATGTCATCGAAGTGTTTCGACTGTAAATTTGAGTCTGGAGATTAAAAACGGGTTTATCTGTTTGATTCGAAATCAAACTCAACTAAAGATACAAAACAAACACTAATTCACGTCTTATGGCACTACAAAAGAATTACTTTATAAATATCTTCGAACCAGAATAGTACAGGTGATTTGCGATCTACTTTTGTACCATATTGAATTTCACATGTCAATCGTACTGTTTCATCACTTATTATACTTAAACTTGGCTGATGGATTTGTACGTATTCAGCTACAGAACAACAAAATCGTATAGTGATTTAATACTTGACAATGCTTTTAATTTCACATACGGTCGGATGGATCATAGGGGACACGAGACTGTTGACTCGGTGTATAGTTGCTCTTACAAGTAAATTGATTCAAGGAATTCGCGATGGTGGGATTTTCTAACGCAAAGCCAATCTGTGGATCAAAGAATACTTTCTAAAATAATCAATAAGATTCGATACTTATCCTTCATCTCACATCGACAAATCAATTTTACTTCGGAGTTTAAATTATCCGGCGTAAAATAAACTGGTATACATAAATCTCGACCATTACAAACAGGTATGTTGCATTTAAGTTCATCGACTCGTTGTTCTCGGTCACTACATTGACGTGATTGGCATTGGTTTGAATTTGGACACGACATTCGTGAATACCAGTTCGTACTTTGGCATGGAATATTAAAGAAATGAATACCTGTCTGTTTATAGATTGTCGGATATACGTTTTGCGTGAAAACAGATTTTCCATCTACAAGAAACATTTGTGTGAACATTTTGAACAGCGAAACGCTACCTTGGACATAAACATGAACTACTTTCTCATGTTTTTTATCTTTGACTGTTTCCGTGCATATATAACGTCCAATTAAATCAGACGTCAATTGATTTCGCCGTAATTTAGCAGTGATTGTGTTCGTATTATAATTAGTATCGAGGGATAGATGCTAGAATAACTTCGTCTAGATGGAATCTAACTGAAAACACTTACTTTTGTTGCTGAATCGGGAACTGTAAACTGAATCGATTTTGTCGAGCCTTTACATTGTAAAAAGTAAGGTAGATTGTCTTTAACTGCATTCGTATGGAATTGAATTTCATGCGGAACAATATAATGACGAAGAATTGAATCCAATGAGTCAATATCTTTTCGAACACGTTCTTCGATGAATTCATTACTTGGATATTCGATTTTGACACCTACAAATATTTTACGTTGACAATAATTCGATTCTAAGAGTGAATAAAAAACATCGATTTACTTTGGTGAAGGGTCAAAATACCCAAAAGAAGTATAAGTCGAAACATTCTTCAAAATAAGGCAAGAGTTTAGTCAACCATTGAAAGCGAACAAGAAAAAGAAAAAGAACGATTGAAACTTTCGTTCTGTTTTCGTTGACGAGTGTTATGATACATTTTATATATATTCATCATACCTGACATCTAGGGATCATGCTTAGCATTCGCTCGTTCATTCGAACGACAAAAAATTATTCATGCTGGGCTGATATGAATAGCGACGACAATTGTTGCTAATCGCAAAACATAATGTGTTGTAAATAGTTTGGATTATGAATGAAACGATCATAGTGCCGCTTACTGTTGATAATGAATTATATCCAGCTTTGATTCAATGTTTCTTCATTATCTGCTGCGGCTACATAGCCGGTCAGCTGAATCTGTTAACAACTGCTCATTCAATCGGTTTATCAAGGTACATAAGTAACTTTGCATTACCAGCGGTTATATTCAAGAATCTCGTCGATGTCCAATTTCAAAGTGTTTCATGGCAATTTCTCACATCTGTTCTGATTAGTAAATCAATCCTATTTTTAATGACAGTTCTTCTGACGTATATTGTTGAACGTCCGAAAAACTTCGCTAGTATGGGGCATTATGCGATCATGACTACTCAAAGTAATGATTTTGCACTGATTCTACCTATTATTCAAGCAGTTTATAAGCAATCTCATCCGGAATATAGTCGATACATTTACTTGATTGCACCTATCTCACTTGTCTTACTCAATCCGATCGGATTTATTTTGATTGAGACGCAGACGCGTTTGGATGATCAACGGAGACATCGCGAAAGATCTTGGTCGTACTTTCAACTGATATCGACCATTGTTGGAAACATTGCTCAGAATCCCGTCGTGATATGTACATTGCTCGGAGTGATATTCAATCAAATATTCCATCAGCATGTGCCAAGTTTAATCGACGGTGTGCTCACGCCGTTAGCTCAATCCTTTACAGCCACTGCGCTCTTCTATCTCGGTCTAACAATGGTCGGAAGACTTAGTCGATTGCATGCGCGTCTTGTTCTAACAGTATTTCTACTCAGTACGATGAAATTGATCATCTTCCCGTTGATTTTACGTCAAGCTGTTTTCTTTCTCGTCAAACCACTGGACGGGAATCTGAACTATACTTTGGAATATTCGAATTTTGGATTTTTATATGGAACATCACCAACGGCACCGTCTGTGATGTTTTATGTTCCTGAATCAATGTTATCCCTACAGGCAATAGCGTCGACAGAACTGGTCGTTTCAACTCTACTATCAGGACCTATTATTCTTGTTTCAGCAAAAATGATCAATATACGCACATTGAGTACGAAAGTCACTGAATGCTATGACATGTTATTAACAACAACGGCTTATGATGTCAGTATTCTATCGTTATTCTGTACAATCATTGTGTTAATCGGATTTTGTTTACGGCATCGGTGGTTTAAAACATCATTTATACATAAATATACATTCATTTTTGTTGGTTTACAAATGATTTTATCGATATGGACAATAATTATGCACCATATTAAACTATTTGCATCATTTACCATGTCACCCATATTTGATTTAGGTAGAACAATACAAATTCAAACTTTCATTTTGTTTTCTTTCCTTTTTAGGCACTATTTTCTTAGCATTGGCTACGCGAACATGGGCAACAAGTATATCCATCGCGTTAATGTTCATAATCTGTCACTCGAATGAATTAGCTCGTCGATGTTCTTGGATGTATCATATATTTGGTTGGTTTGTACCCGCAACGGTATCTCTGATCATCTATTTTTGCTCATTGATCAATCAATCAGAGGAAATTCCGGAATTAGTAGGCGTGGGAAAGCTAGGAAAACTCCAAATAATTCTCTCGATTTTATTACTCAATGTATGTGTTTTAATCAACACGATTAGTCTTCTTCGTATCGCACGACGGACGTATCAGTCAAGACACGATCTAACCGATCATCGATCAGAAACTATTAGTGATTCGAACCCTACAACGAATGAAGTTCAAGCATTGATCGATGATAATGAAGAAGACATGGACACACCATTCATTTCTAGAGGTATCTTTTTCTGTTTATCTCATCGAAGTTTTTGTATGTTGTCCTTGAAGCGCCAGAAGAAGTGAACCTTGCTGAAGGTGATGCACAATTATTTCGTCACAGCATCCTTATTGCCTTATTGACGATCGATGCTGTCATTGTAAGTATATTCGATTGAAAAGAAGAGACTACTATTAAATTCTATTGACACAGTGTGTAGCGGTGCTATTATGGTTAATCATATCGCGTGATCGTGATGGTATTTATTATGAATTACAGTTCTTAGACACGGTTTTACTTTACGGACAAGTAAATAGATTGAGTTCGTATTTTGCCAGATGAAAGTTTGATGTTTGTAGGGTATTATTTCTTTTCTTGTCTTTGCATTGGATGCTGATTTGCTTGTGCCGATCTCGCGAAAGTAAAATAGAGAATGAAGCGTAAAGAAACGAATAGTGAAGATGTCTTATTTCTATTTAGATTGATGAAAATATTTTATTGTTTTGGGCTCAGTCGAAACTATGCACGAAATCAAAACAGAACTGGTGGAACATTGGATTTTGAAATTCACATTCGGCCGGAATTCATCCGTCATTCCAGGTATGTGAAACTGTTTTCAAAACTTTTACAAACATAATCTTTAAAGAACTAATATCGAATAACATCATCATGTATGTATTTCTATTCTGATTATTGTCCTTTGCCGTTCGATTGATTTTCTGTAAATAGTCTCTTGTATTCAATTGAAAAGCCATTCGAATTTCTATTTAGTATGAAGCAATCGTCGGAACCAGTGTTTTGTGGAAATGAGCTCTGTCAGTGGCTGATAGAACATGAATACATGGCTAATGAATCAATGGCTCGAGCTTTTATACAGCAGATAGAAACAAATCAACAAATTGTTTGTCTCAATCGAAATCAAAAACCTGACGATGTTTCCGATCTTTCGACGAATTGGTATGCGTTTTCGAAATAGAAGAAGCGGCTAAGCAGTCTTTCTTGTTTTTATTAAACCAGTGAATTTTTTATCTTTTTTTCGATGTAAAGAATAACATTTTGCGGGAAGAGAAAATTATCATTGTTTTTCTTCTGTAATGAATTGTCAATGTCCGTCGATATGTAAGTCTGTCTTCTATGATGAACCAATTTTACAGGTAGATTTCTGCTCGGCTGATGAATGATGGTGAACTTCTTCCTAGGCTAATGCGAAAAAACCGGATTTGAAACCGACTGAGTGTCTTTCGAATAAATGTGATGGCTGTTTGAACGAATATTTCAGCAGAGCTCTCCGACGTAATCACTATCAGATTTTTCATAGTCACAAAGATACATTGGACATGGGTAGGCCGACAGCTGTTGTTTCCTCACCATCGGTTACAATTAGTGATGAAGAAATGAGTACGATGCAAGACGAAGCTATTGAGAAACTAAATGAAATCCGTAAACGATACGCACTGATGCAAATGAACGACAAAGTTTTTATTTTGGGTGGTTACGCCATCGATAGTAAAACGGGAAGAAAGAGAATACCCAAACATGATTATTTGTAAGTATGTGAAGACGATCAAATGCGCGTAACAATCACGAACATGTAGTTACGATCATAATAAGAAAGAATTGGTTCCTATTCCTGCATTGCCTGGTCATGGTCGAATGGGTTTCGGATTAGTCACCACTGACGACGATAAGATCATTGTTGCTGGTGGACACAATTTCGATTTTGAATCAATGTCAAATGTAACTATGCTTGACACACAAGCAGAAGTACTCCAGTGGCAAGATTTACCGAATATGCCCAGTAAAGTTACTGATTTGAGAGAACTGAGAAATAAAAGTATGATCACTTTTTGAGATGGTACTATTGGTTCTGGTGCAGGCATTATGTATAATGTTCTTTACATCATTGGTGGATTTGATTTTGTCGGATACGATATAGTCTGTCATGGTGATGTACTTGCGCTGGATTTGGTTAAGAAACAATGGAAAATATTAACGAATATTGATCCACCTCGAGCTCGACCGTTAGTTAGCATCAACGACCATGTCAACCCACCGTATGTTTTTCATCCAGAAAAATACTCAGCTACTAATTTCTCATTCACAGCACATTATATATTGCCGGTGGCTATAGTTTTAGTGAAAGAGGCCAAATTGTTCCATGTAAATGACGAATGTTTGAGTATGTTTAACTTACAAATATAATTTCTATTCTAGGTGGTAGAATCGAAGAATATCATGAAGAAGAGAAGACGTGGCAAGTGATTGCTGACATACCGCATTTCAAGACAACAAACGGATTGGCGACGAAAAACAACAAACTGTAAAAACGCCCATAAAAACAAGTCTTTTCAGCATCTTCTCTTGTGCATAGATTCCTGATGAATGTCGTGCCTGAGACCGGCGAGAATCGTGTTATTAAAGAATATAACCTTGAAACGCGTCAATGGAAGAGCTTGCATGATCTGAAACGATCATCCTCTCATCATCTTAAAAAAGAATCATCGCGAATCAAACTCGCCGACGAACAGACTGAAGAAAAGGTTGACGAGTAAAACTCTGCTTGTTCATATTGTTTTCAATCATTACCATGCTCGTCTTTTTCGTTCTTCTCCTTTTTCCTAGCTTCGATTGTATCGAACGAAAGAAAAAACACGATCGAGTGTTACATTTACACTTTCGAAACAGTCACACATGTTATCAATAAAAGTTATCACATCATTTCTTGCTTTCGCAACACACCAAACGTGCTCTTTGAAGTCAATGTCGGTGAGACGGGACATAAACTATGTGAATGTCGCATGTGAAGATCTCGTAAACACCTGCTATTATTTTTACACCGCACTTTCCGTTAGCATATCGAGGCGTATGATAATCAAACGTTCCTGACAACTTAACGGAACACAGCAGACTTGTTTGCCTTTGACAGAAAGACGTATATGCGTAGTAAATCTCCACGTGATTGCAACTCAGTTGCGTCATGTAATGCTTGATGAAACTATTTAGTTATAATAAGTTTCATTTAAGTATGAGTATGCGTCACTTCCTGGGAAAGCAAATTTTCAATTTCTACGCGCTGCTTCATACGTCAAGTGTTATACGAGTATACATAGCTGTTCTTTGTCGTCGCAGTGTTCTCCCTCTCCCTCCTCTTCGATTTTATTTATCATATCTAAGGTCTAAACATGCATATGTTGACGTTTCACCATTAATATTTTCTTCGAGTAATCACTGCATTTTTTTCTCTCTAGTCATTCTTCTCATCTTTTTGACGATTTTCCGTTCTGTTAACATAATGAGTGAGAAAAACATGATTGATGTCAAGAAAAATGTGCGTTAAACAGAAAGAAATACTCTTGTCACTTCAGATCGTGTGGGAGTACTAATTGGAAGTGTACTGAGCAGGAAGAATTAATCAATGGGCTCGAAAGTAAGTCGTCGTCATTCGAAAAGTGGTGAGCAATTGAGTAAGGAAATGCTCGTTGAACTCAGCGAAGAGACAGGCTTTAGTGAAGAAGAACTGCTCAACTGGCATACGTAAGTGCAAATTCGAGGTCATATTGTGTAATTATGAGTCATGTTGCTTTGTTTTAGTAACTTCTACAAGGATTGTCCAGATGGGCGTTTAACTTTGAAACAATTCGAACATGAATATTCAAAAATCATGGGTCGACCTACGCAGAAAACAACTGATTATGTCAAACACATGTTCAACGTTTATGATCAAGATAGAAATCAATTTATCGACTTTAAGTAAGACGTTCCTTGCTGGCAAGCGAAACGAACTCTTCTTTTGTTGTTTAGAGAATTTGTCACGGCATTATCAGCTGCGTCAGTGATGAATCGTTTGCGTTTAGTTGAGACGATGTTCAGTATGTTCGATTTAGACCACGATGGACGAATAACCAAAGACGAAATGACCAAAATGTTACATACCCTCGTCGACGTGACAAACTCGAACAAAAAGCGTCAGCAGAATCACTCTAATAGTGACAATGGCAATCAACAGGCAAATCTACAAAAGCGTATTGATGATGCATTCAACGAACTAAACACCAACGATGATGATCACATAACAAAAGATGAATTTATCGAATGGTATATGAAAACAGGTTTATTATCTGAGGTCAAAACCTCCGGTATAAATGTTCGTGATGCACGTCGTGTTCAAGAGTTTGACAAGAAATCGCGGAAAATCAGAAAGCAACAAGTTGATCCGAGAGATCATGTCGATGAGTACCAGTCGTCGCAAGAAAAACGACATATAACACGTATGACTGAACAAAGACCACCAATGAAGTCAACAACGGATGAGAGTGACGATGACGATGATGATGATGTCGTGATGGGAGATGACGACAGTTTACGTCAACAGACTTCGTCGGATGATACAGATTCTCATTATTCGAAAGAAAACGAACGTTGGCAACACTTGTTTAATTCTGTTCTTGGACAGATTCGCGCGCAACGTGAATACAATCAAGAACAAGAACAAAAAGTCGAATTGAACGAACAAAATCGCATCAGCCATTTCAATTCATGGAAAAAATATGGTGAGGAACAAATGAAAATCGAATACTTTCGACAGAGATCGACCGATGGTGTCACATCACCGTCGGATGTCGTTACAATTCGATTTTGAGACGTTTTCTCTTACTAGTGTCTTCCAAAGATTGTTCATTTACTTTTTCCGATAAATAAATCGGGTGAACTTCGGATAATTCAGAGAAATACATAAGCGAAGAAACAATCTACTAATTTATTAGTGAAATAGCTCATCGAAGCAAAGAAAAAGAAAGTGAGCTAATTAAATTCGAGCGAGAAATTCGCCATTTTTCAGAAAAAAGCAAATATTATCATTAGATAAAAGTTTTTCATCTGAACAAATATCGTCGATCCATTGATGTAAGATAGATTGCGAATTTGAGCGTGGAAATGACACGGATCGAGACTTGCCGGATGGTTGTGAACGCTGCCTTTCGTGCGATGGCGCATGAACAGAATGACTACGTGACGACGATCGCGGCGTTTTTGGAGGTGTTACTGCTAGATCATCGCGAGAATGGTAAGCAATGCGAAGCTTTTTTATATAAAAATCTGTATCCGGATTGGTATGAACGATAATTTCCGAGCGATATTGACCTGGTTTGGTTGTATCATTGACTGTAAAACGAATTGGCTTTGTTTGGCCATTGATTTTGACTGGAATTGTATGGATGAAATGTCGTTGCTCGGCTTGACATTCTATACGGATAGGTTGTGGTGCAGGGAGTCGAGAAGCGGCTTTCCGCTCTCCATTCGTTTGTGGAGTCGGTGAAATAAGTAGTTCTTCGTCGGGAACAGTCATCTGTTGATCTATAAAGCTAATAAAAACATTCGTTTTTATTCGATATGAAAACCATCCTATATATAATACTTTGTAATCATACCACTATCGATTCTAATACTTCGAAAAAGTAAATACCATTCGTTTTCTCACTTATCAGCTATTGACACTATTGACAGACATATATTTATGATCTTATCCTTCCTCTTCGCTCGCCTTTTTTTTTCAACATCAATCACTTGTATACAAGCATAATATGTTTAAAAGATTTGTCTGTAATGATGTTTAACGGGTTCTGTTTCTTTTTTTGCTTATCGAACACTACCTGGTACGGACAAAATAACAACACCTATACAATAGTGGCACCAAAAAAGAAAACGAGAAAATGAAAGTCTAGCTTGTGCCATTAGAACATCCTTTTCATTGATTTTCGTTTACGATTGCCAATCAATCTTCCTCGCCAATTTTTTCCTCTCCCTCTCTTTTCTTTCATGGTTCGACTAAGGAAGAGAGAAAGAACAAAAACAACCCACCTATTTTAAAACGAAGAAAGAATAGAGAAACTTGAAAGAGACAGTTGGCCTTGGCGCGAGAATCGATGCCCTTTTATTTGTTGATTACACGTCTAATATCATCTTCTCTATTACAAATCGACAACCGCTACACATTCTATTTTCATTAATATTAAGACAACATTTATAATAAAATAGAAGACTAGAGACAATATACGTATATATATATGTGTGTGTGTGGAAAGAAATAAAGAGTTTCCTATGAACCAAATACATCGAAGAGATCAGTAAATGCCTGGGTGCCAGGTTGTGGTGGAGCTTGACGGGTCGGTTCCCATGGCATTGCAGATTGCGGTCGATTGACTGCTGGCGCTGCCATGTGACTAAAATCACTTCCACCGAACATATTTGCACCAGGAGTTTTCGAACGGTTGGCCATAGATTTTTTCATCAGTTCATGCGCCATATTAAAGTCCACCGGTCGGAATGGATCCGATTCGTCTAATTTTTGATTACCACCACCAGTTGATGCTGCCGAAGCCGAAAAGAATGGATCATCAGCTCGACTAACTCCAAACGGATCGGCTGTCGTTGGAAATGCGTTGAATGTATTATTCACATTGGCGGGCAAGCCGAACGGATCAGCAGACGTGCTCGTCGGTGACGTGACTTGTGATTGTTGTTTTGGAGTAACAACTTTATTAGCTGTAAGTGGTGGAACTGCTGTTTTAACTGGACTATCAGCCAGCTAAGGAAAACAATGAATAATCACTGATGAATGTCGAACAAAATGTGGTCATACCTGTTTGAATTTTAAGGTTAATTCATTGATTGCTGAGAGTGAATCTTTTTGTTCACTCTTCATATATTGTTCAATGAGTGCACGTTGACCTTCGACAACATTCTGATATCGTTCGAGATCAAGTTTAACTTGATTGAATTGCTGTTGTTTGTTCAAAAGTCGACTTTCAATGGTATTTTTTTCGTCACGGATTCTATTTAATGTTTGACGAACTTCTTGCTGAGCATCGGTTTCAACGGACAGTTCATTGATCTTTTCTCGTGCTAGCTCAATTAAGCGATTTTCCTCTTTGATTCGCTGTTCGATATCATGAATATCTTTGATTGCCTTTTCCTTACGGTTTTGTATATCGCTCAGTTCGCTCTGCTTTTCGGTCATACGTTGTTGACGCTCAACTAGCGTTGCATTCACTGTTCCACATCGAAGCTCAAGTGATGCGAGCTCAGCGCGTTTATCTTTGACAGCTTGTTGTTTTTCATTGAATTGGATTTCGCATAAACTTTTCTCGCTGGTTAATGCATTGACTTCGCTCAATAATTGTTGCAATTCAGCATTGTCACTGTCATTAACTGAGAATGTCTTCGGTCGAAGCGATGGTGGAATCATATCATGCGAAAGTTCCATAGGAATTTGGTAGTTCGGTGCTGAAAATATCAAGAAAAAGAAGTTATATTCGTATAGGAAAGAAACGAACCTTGCAATTTCAGTTGAATGAAGTGCGATGCTAATGCAAATTGTTCAGGATTGAGTTTACCCGTTTGACCAATATCGCATAGATTCCATATATGCGATAGTACAAAATTGGGTAGGCCACTTGTCAGAAATGTTTGAAAAACATCATTGCCTGACAAGAATCCGTCTTTATCTGAGTCGAGTTGATGAAATAGCACATCGAATTTTTGCTTGTCTTCGAAACTAACAATCCATTGATCGTCCGTTCGTTTCGATGGTGAGATTTGCGAAGGTGCCAACGATGCTAATGCGCCTCCTGCTGGCATGATATTCGGTAGACTAATATTGATGTCAACACCTGATACTCGACGCATGCGTATTGGCATTAGATTTGTTGGTAATCGGTCGGGTAATTCGCGGATAGTTGCAGTTTTTACACCATGAATAAGAAACATTGCAATTGCGAATTCATTTCGATCTAATGCGCCATCTTCATCAATGTCACTCAAGTCCCAGATCTTATGCAATTGATCAGCTGATAGACCAGACTTGAGAAATATGGGCTTGACAGATGTACCTGGTAATTTACTCATTGTTCCACTTAATTTCTCGAATGCAACATCAAATGTACAACGAGCTGTAGGTCCAATTGTCCACATATCCGCAACGGCAAGACTTATGCTTTGTGGAATATCGCCACCTAAATTCGGCGGGACAATATCTTTCGTTATATTCGAGTAATCATTGAAATCGAGCTTATTTTGTGCGAGAGCAATAAGTTTCAATCCAATATAAAATCCTCGTCGATCTAAATAACCTCGACCGTGTGGATCAGCTAAGTTCCAAATGATTTTCAATTGTTCAGGTTTTAAATGTGAACGTTGAAAGTAATTATTCGCTTCGATGGAACTCACGATACCATGATCGTGAGGGTCGGATTGCGCGAAATGATATTCATACAAAGCATATTGCGATTTACCGACTACGGTATCTAAATCGATCGTGTCAAATTCAGACATCTGAAAAAAAAAGAAACAACATAAAAGTGAATGTTTTTTTTTTCTTTTTTTCTTTTAAACACCACCAGAGAAACGTCAGTGTAGAAGGAAATGTAATAGTATATACAGAGACAGAAAGAAAAACACTAGATAACCATGCACATCACGAAAGAAAATTTAACGAAACTAATTGTCTAATTCGAAAATAAGAGGGTTAGTAAATTGAACAGCTGATTTAGTTTTTGAGGCATTTCCATCTTCACTCTTCGACGACGCGATGCCGCTGGCTTGCCGAGCGATAACATCCTGGAATTCCACGGGATTTTTGTATTCATTCGATTGATTGGCTGACTTGTTTTTCTCCGATGTTGAATCATCTGGATCGCTCGATTGAGAGTTGAGAGAGTCTTGCCGTTTACGCTTTTTCAATTTACGTTGTTGATGCGACGATAATTTTCTCATACCTGAAACAGGTCCACCTGGTTTAAATGTTTTTCTTGATACTTGATTGTTGAATGTCACATGTTTGACATTCAGCGACGAACTTGGTGTTGTGCATAAACTACTACTACCACCGCTATCTGGCGATGTTACAATACTATTATTTTCATTACTACTAGTCAAATCATCAACAGTTGAACATGCTTCGAAAACAGGTTCTTCATGTTGATTATCATTGTTCGAATTATCAAAGTTTTCACTGAATGATGCTGAGTACGAACGATATTTTGTTGAATTTTTTAGTATGCCCTAGAAAAGCGAAGGAAACTTAGTGGAAATGACTGAAAAGATATACTTTTAGTTTGAATTCTCCGTTTGATGTTAATCCCAGCTCAACTTGAGATTCCGACATATGGCGACGATAGGCTGTTGGACGCGCAATACTTTTAGGCATCTCAGGAAGTTTATCTTCCTCTTTTTCTTCATCGGTATTTGATTCAAGTGATATAGTCGAAATTTTATTCGATAATTTATCGTTACTATCTGGTGCGGTTAACGAATTCTTTCGTTTTTGCTTGGCCATCTTTTTCGCTTGTTTCTTTGTTAGTTGTTTCGGCTGCTCGCCGTTCAACGAAGTGGACGAGTCCGATCTGGACACGAGAAAGTCGTCCTTGGTCATTGCTTGAGTAGATGAAGTGCTGGCTTTGTCAGGAGCGGGCGTATTCGATACAGTTGAATAATGCGTCTAAAACATGAAAAAAAATTTATCGATAATGAAGAGAAATACCGTGTACAGCTGGTAATGTTAGACATGATTCAATATTTGCATGCATGACTTATGAGGGGTGTTTATTTACCTTCATATCGTCGCGATTAACACTACTTTGAAAGTGATCGATTTGTTTATTGTTGGAAGTCTTTTTCAAAATAACTAAAACATTGTCGTCATTGAATTTTATACTTGAAGAACTTTCGGCGGTGTCGAAAGTCATTGGTTCATCAAAATCAAGACAAAGTTGATGTTGAAGTGGATAAAACCCAGAGCCTAACGAGGATAACTGAATAGTAACATGTTGACCATCATTGTCTAGTTTGAAACTAGATTCATCGACATTTTTCACATAAATGACAATTGCTAGATGTCCGGAACCTTGTTTGTATTCAAATGGAATTGATGTATAAACTACATTCGCAGGTTTCTCAATTGCTGGTGCGGGTTCTGTTGCTGGAATGGGTGAGTTGACCTCAGCAGTCTCTTCATTCGTCTCTTCTGGAGGAGTATCTGTTTGCATTTCAATGACCGCCGGCATTTCTTTGATAACAGCTAATACAACGAGTAACTTGCGTTGTTTTTTGTCAAAACGTGCATGACTATCACTCTCACGAACTGGATAAGATAATGGCAAATCAAGTGAATACTTTGGTGAGTCACAGTGAAGTTTAAGTGAACGTTCACATACATCAAGATCGACATTACTCGATGATGCGCACAATGGCAGGTCAATTTCCACGAGTAACTCTTTCGGACGCATTGAATGCACTTGTGAAACGAGAGGATTTGTACAATCCTGCATGTCGAACTCACCGCGATGAACTATACGATATGTTGGAACCGTAAAACCATTTTCATCGGTACGAGGTGTGTTCGTCTCAGGCGGAGTGATACTGGCTGGCGGAGAAGAATTGTTATTAGTTGAACGGTTATGATTCGAAAGGATAACTTTATGGTTTTGAGCAGCAGATAGTGCCTTGTCGATGATTTCATCGCTAGAAAAGGTTATTAATCGATGCAATGAGATAGTAATTAGTTGCAAACACTTACGTTTCATTTTTTAATTGTTTTTCTGTTTCTTCCACAAAATTCTCTTGCTTTTTCCTAAGAATTGTTGCTTTTGGCACCCCTTTGAACTTCATTTTCAACCGTTTCACGTTTTTTCGATCCAATTTGCAATTGTAATTCTTTTCAACTGAGTCCAATGCTGATTCGTCGATCATATTCATGAATTTCTCGTTTGTTTCGCCCATTCGATAAGTATCCGGAGAGAAAATCACATCGTAAACAGTACACGATTTCGATTCATGATCAAGATCTTCGTGTGGACCAGCTAGACAATGCGGTAAACTCCATTGTGCACCTTTTTTTCCATTCGGTCCATCGGTTTTCGCATAGGAAGGTTTATCTACATGTTCATTCATTGCAATGTTAATAAAACATTTCGTCTTATCACCGATTGTTGTTTTCAGTACATGACCTGCGTTCGGATGTATGAATGTCACATCCGAGCCACGTTGTTGCTCGGCGGCGCGAATTTCTTGCTCGTATAGCTCGCGATTCTTTGGATCATTGAGTTCTTCTGCGTATTGAATAAACAATTTGCGAAATTCTGCGTTTTGAAATGCGTCCGAAAAGCGTTTCATTTCATCGCCAGTTAAATTTAAATCTTTTAATTTATCTTGAAAAGTACTTGCAGTCATAATTGTTATCTGAAACAATGAAAATGAACAACTTATCATATTGCTAAGACAAAGACATAATCATATAGGAAATAATAACTCCGTTCCATATCACCTTCACATAAATATGGTAGACGCGTTAATTTTTCTAGATGAAAACCTGATGGTTGAATGACGTTCAGCACAAAACTGTTAATTTGCTCCTCAGGTAGTTCACCTTCGATCTGTAATGATTCATTCGGTCGGTGATGACTGTTATACTCAAAATAGGGTTTGAACGGAAGAACAAGACTAAGAACTACACGACCGATCTGAGGATTTAGATGATCGCGAATCTGCCTGAGTAATTGTACAGGATTTTCGCAACGATCAAGGACATTTAAACAAGTAATAACATCAAATATATGATCTCCCCAATGGTTCGTATCGAGCACTGTGTAACCATACGTTGATAAACGCCAACGCATAGTTGGAGATAGTTCAGTAACGTAGACTTTGTTAAAATTATTCGCCATGCGCTCCGTTATTGACCCGTCGCCCGCACCGATGTCGAGTAAGGTGCTGAATGGTGATTTTCCATCTGATTCGATATCGAGTAAAGTTTTAAACTGTGCACTTGAGTAAACAAACATTCGACCACGCCCGAGTAGACCATTTGCTAAAAATAAACATCACAGACTTTTATCAGTTCGACGAAAAACGAAACTTACCTGATGTTCGTGTCATAAACAATGTTAACAAAGACGCAAATACAGTATGAATCATTTGTAAGAACACATTTTCAGATTTCTCTTCGCTTTGTTTGAGAAACAATTGGGTATCTTCGTCTTCATTCAATTGACAGAAACGTTCGCGATATTCGTCATGCAATAGATCACTTCGGGATAAACGATACCATCTCGTTCGATCGATGCTTTGTAAACATCGATCGTTTTCTATCTTAATCAACGCAGCCCTTGCCCATGACGAACGCACCAAGGGATATGATGATTGGTGACAATTGGTACAGTATTCATTCATCATTCTATCTAAAATTTATTGATTCTATACGTAATTTTTTCGTAGGAAAACGAATGATTAGACAAATGAAATCACAGCGAGAAGTCGAGAGAATTTGTTATTCAATTATTACGAATTTCTTTTAATGCATCTCGTAAATTTGTCATTTCTTCACTTAGCTTCCACAGACGTTCAGCTGATTGTCTGTCTTGCGATGTTTTCGATGATGGACATTCTTTACATTCCCTGTAGACATTCAAATCTCGATGGGACAATGCATCAACAGAATGGCAAATACTCACGAAAAATACTTGCCAGTCACATGATCTAATTGCCGATCCGTTGCAAGATAGATCGATGTCTGAGCGCCTTGCTCGGGAGTTTTCGTCAAACAGTACCATATTGGTGTAATCAACAGAATAATACCATCTAAAATACTTTGATAATTCCCCAGGATACTTCGTGTGACTTCCGTTCGAACAACGCCTATGAATAATTTATGAAATGAACTCAATCAGTAAGAATCTATTAATACCTGGGTGGAGGCTATTGGCTGTGATATTCGTATCTGAAATTGAATTTTTGATGAGCAGAGAATTTATTCGATGACGAAACATACCTTTTAGCCGCCGCGCTAGTTCATTGGTAAATAAAACATTGGCTAATTTACTATGAGAATAGGCATTCATTCTCCAGTATGGTTTCGAGAAATTGATGTCATCCCAATTGATTTGGAGTCCCCAAACTGAATTTCACGAAAGAGAATGAATGTTTTTATCATGAGGAAGAAGAAATGATTTACAAGCGTGATTGATTGATGAAACATTGATAATCCGAGCTGCGGGTGCTTTTTTCATCAGGTCCAATAGAAGATTGGTTAGGAGAAAGTGACCGAGATGATTAACAGCAAAATGAATCTCATAACCATCAACCGATTTTCCTGATGCCATCATAACACCTAAAGAAGTGCTCTGTTTTATTCAGAAATCATTTCACTGGTCTACTCACCAGCATTGTTGATTAAAACATCTAATTTTGTTAATCTATCGCGTAGCCGTTTAGCACACTCTCGAACTGACTGCAATGAAGCAAGATCCAGCATCTCCATCTCGACTTTCTCACTTCCAGACAGTCGACGTATGTCTCTTAATGCTTCTTCCGTTCGTTTCCGATCTCGACATGCTAATATCACGTGTGCACCTATTCCACAACAAAGACAACCATTCGAAAATCTGACTTCAATGATAAAGTCTCTCACCTCGCCTAGCTAATTCAATCGCGGCGTATTTGCCAATGCCTGTATTACTTCCCGTAATCACAACCGTCTTCCCATCCATTCGATCCGACGATGGGCACCGTGCAGCAGAGACATAGTAGATATTAACCAAATAAAGTAAAACTATAAGAAACGAAGAAAAAAGAAAACAAGTGAGAAATTTCAAGCGACTGATATCTCGTCGTACACAATAAGAGCAGCTTCACGTACACATGACAATACTAGCGAGGAAAATCCACATGAGCCAGGTCATAGTGAAGAACTTATCTGAAATAAACAGAGAAGAGTTAGTGAGTTTCATCCGCTGATTGATGCTGCGTTGGTATCCATCGTTGGATTTCGACTGTTTTTATCTTGACATCCTCGAGAAACTCTCCGATATTATTTGAATTTGTATCTACGTTTTCAACATGAACTAGAAGCAATACTTTCGCCGCATTCAGACATGCTCGATTTAGACCAGAGAGAAATGACCATGTCGAACTGTTGATCTGCCAAAAATTCTCAATCGAAACGCAATAAACAGCGTGATTAAGGCTTGGACCAAATTTATAGAGCACTATAAACACGAAAACAAACAAAGCTCAATGAATACAAAACCAGTTAACTAACTGTAGTCGCAACCAAATTTCAATCCACACTTGACTATCCACCCGCTACTACGAAAATAATAATAAACAGCATATTTCACTGGAAAATTTTGATCTTTCAGAGTAAATCGGTGCCAGAGATCATCTGGAGATAAAATCTATCATGAATTACCGTACTGAAATCTGATTTTCAGAGTTAACTTACTTGATTAGTTTCATCTTTGACACTCAAGCAGCCAAGACCATGTTGTAAAAAGATTGTCTATCAAAAATCGAAGGTCATTTCGGAGCAGCGATAAAACAATCGTACTTCTTCAGGTAAAAGATATACACGCTCGTAAAGGATTAACTTTGACGATGAAATCTCCATAGTGTTATCTGAGATCGATTGAAATTCGAGCGGAAATCTCGATGAATAGATCTGCCTTTCTTCAAGAATTGTCTGACATGCTTGACGATTTTCTTCGCGAACTTGATCGACAGATGACGCCAACATTTTTTTATTCAACTCTTGAAGGAATTCTTTTTCGAAATCGGACATCGGCTCACTGGAAGTAAATTTGATCAAATCGAATAAGAGCAAAAATTCTGAATGACAAACTTTGTTTCAGTAGATTCGACAGTTCGTAGACGATACGGTTTTTCATATCTCTTTCTGCTATTCGGAATTGTTTCTAACGGTAACGATGGCGATGCTTGAGTGGTTGTCCGCACAAATTCACATTTACCAAAACTTCCCTAAAACCAAAGAAATGACACTTCCAAAGGAAACAAATGATTCTCTGCTTACATATCTAAAAAGTTTATCACCCTGTTCAACATCGGGTATCATAACAAGATCGTCCACAATCTTAGCTTCGTAACATGGCCAATGCTCATCATTTTCTTCGACCTTTATTCACAAGAATGAATACCGTATGAAAATTCCATCGATTATTCTTACTCGATCAATATCATAGATAAACAATGGGAATAGTTTCAAATATTTGATTCTGTTCGCTCGAACTTTACTGAAATGTGCCGTTTTTTTCATTGAAATCTACAAACAAGAAAATAAATCAGACCTCACCCGTCTCCGATGTCCTAAATGAAAAATCAAAGCATTTAGATCAGTCGGTAACATACTGGCCAATTAACTTAATGCTTGAAATCGTTCTACGTAAAGCAATCACGCGTTATTTCGTTTTCTGATTTGTGGTTTATCTAACTACGTCATTGAGATAATTACGTCAAGGTCGGAGGCAAGTTTGTACTCGAATCCGAACTATATTTGCTTTTCAATGTTTAAAATTGTTTGATCAATGATCAATTCTGTGTTCGAGAAACAATTCATGAGTCACTATATGCAGATGATCGAACGAGCAACCAGTTAGTTGCTTAGATGTACCACACGAATGAGAACAGAAGAACGCATGACTGGCACACAGCGACCTCTTAGCATGTGTAGACAGTAACATATGAACGAGCATGGAATGTTCTATCCTGGGATTAGTTTCGAAGAAAAACATCGGTTCCAGGATTTCATGAGTATGCAGACATGTTGCTCGGCAAAATTTCTGTGTAAAGATCTCTGGGAACAATTCTTAGGTTCATTGATACATAGATCATAAAATATCGATTAATGTTGTTGATTTATTTAAGATTTCTTTCATGGCTGAAAAATAATCAGTTGTTCATGCTCCTTTGAGAGATAACGGAATGAAAGGCGAGATGTGATTTTGTTTTTCAAACAAAAACGTACATCAACAAGGGATTGGATTAATCAATATAACGAAGTTTCGTCGAGAAAATTTCTTTCGATTGACTATCCTTAACTTGACAGGAATGTCAAAATATCCGTCGACGTCTATTTAGTTTTTTGTGTAAATAAATAAAGAACTAAAAGAATAGCCAATATACTATTAAGAAGGATAACGTTGAGAATATCGAAATGAGATTTGTTTTCCTTACGCTGTTATTAGGAGAGATATATATGTCAACGCGAAGTCTTAATGAAAATTCTGTTTGTTACATTAGAAGAGCCAGAGGAATTATTCTATTTGTCTTTCTTTTCTTGTCTGCAAGTAGTGCCAGCGACTGCTGTTGTAAATAGCTAATTAACGCCGAATTACTATTAACAAATCTGTAACGAGATGAGAAATGTATTCGATGAATTGACGAGTGGATGTTTGCTTGTCGGATATCGCGACAAGAAACGGTATAGGTACGAGAGTGTTCTCTTTGCTGCTTGCATTCGCTGAGGGAAATTAACAATTCGTGAGTTTCTCGATTCATTCGATAGTTGAAGCAGTGAAAGCTGATCATAAGAGAGAGAGAAAATAAACATCATTCAGTTATCGTTTATTTACATCAAATGAGACAAATATAATAAACAAATAGTTTCGTCCGAGATGCAATCTGCTCGAGTTGACGTACAAGATTCGATTATGATAAGGTCATGTGTAAATTTGAAGAGAGAGAGAGGGAGAGATGATCTACATTTTTGCATATAAATCGAAAACGTGATCACGGGAACCAACACGTAAGTTTTGTAGAACTTAGAAATCGATCTATTTGTTCGCTTAATGCATTTTGAAAACTCACGGCGAGGAAGAAATGATATCGATTTCTGTTCTAGATACATACAAGTCGTTTATTATGTAGATGAAATATTTTTCTTTGTATACAATAACAAAAGGTGTTTCTCTCGATTCTCATGATAATATCAGCATAGAAATAAAATATTCTGTATCTTTTCTTCTTTCATAGGATAGTGATTCGATACTAAATGGCGTTGAGTGGAAATACAAACCTTATATGTAAGTTATACTCGTCAATTCTGATGAGTTTTTTTCTTCTTCTTCTTCATGATAAATCTCAAGGATGAATTCTTTTCCTCTTTTCACATCCAACTAATTCTGTATCACAATGAACCTAAAATCGGCTAAAGAGTCCGAACGAGAAGGCTTTTCTTATTTGATTCTAGTGGGAGCTGCGCATTATCATAACTCTCAGCCTCATTCAACGCTTCGTCATCAAACTTCCATACCTGAAGCACCTAATCTTCACGCAATCAATCGTCTAGCTGTGTCCGATCAGTCATTCGATGATACACTTTCTCTAACGTCTCCATGTACATCATCGTCGTATCCATATCTCGATCAGTTCGCCTTACGCAATGCTTCAGTTTTTGCGATTTCAACATCGGATTACAAAGATCAAAAGCTGTTCACTAGTCTGAGTCGACTGAATATGATTTCTTCCAATCCAAATGTACGCTCATCCAAAATTCAGACACCCGACGATGCCAACAATAAGTCATCAGATGAAAATACCAGATCCACATACGTCTCCAATATGACAACAATGATTCCAACGGATATTACACAAAAACATCTTCCAATCGAAATTCGTGTTCGCTGTATTTTTCTACGTGTGGGTGAAATCGATACACTCAATGAGCGATTCACCAGTGAGATCTTCTTCGAAGCCTCGTGGTATACGCGAGATCACAAACATGGGTCTAAATCTGACTCTCATCCAGGTCATTTCAATCCACAATTAGTTGTCCTCAATCATATGGGAGATTCCTTGAGACACGAAGTGAGTTGAGTTCTGTGTTCTTCAAAGATGTAGAAATGATATTGAAAACTAGAAATGGTATTCAACTAATGCGATAGCAGAAAACGGTCTGTTCGAAGTGACTGAACATCACAAATTCAAAGGTGTTTTCTGGGAGCGAATGGAATTAAATCATTTTCCATACGACGTCCAAGAATTGTCAATATCGTTAACAACACCGTTGAACGTAAATGAGATCTACTTTGTCGAGAATAAACAAAAACCTTCCGGTGTGAATCGAACTGTATTCAGTGATCAACAATCGTGGCATTTGTACGAACATGTCGAATTCCAATTCGAACAATACCGGGAAGAATATTCCTTGAATTACGATCAAATACATCCAGTTCTCGTTTGCACCTGCCATGTTGGAAGAAAATGTGGTTATTATATTTGGTAAAGCGAACGATTGTTTTTTGAGCTGAATCTTTCTCGAACGTTTCGTCTAGGAATGCATATTTTCTCATATTTCTTATTACGTCCGCGGCCCTCTCAACATTCGCTATTCCGCCATCAAACTCACATGGACGCTTACAGATTACATGTACTCTTCTTCTCACATCTGTTACTTTTCGCTGGGTTGTCAACAAATCTCTGCCGTAAGTTTCGCAAAGTCACTGTCGAATTTCTTAATCAACTGTTTTTCTCTCTCAACCAGAACAATATCCTATCTCACAGCGTTAGACGGTAAGGAAAAGCAATTGCTTTACTCTTTCAAGACCTTTTCTCCTTCTTTAGTTTACGCAATCGCGTCAATCGTTGCTTTGTGTATAATCAATGTATTTCATGGTGTTGTTAGTTATATCTATTATAATCAAATTTATATAGCCTCTTATTTAACACCCACTGCAACCAATGCACTTCATCTGTCACTTTATCCGGAATACTCTCTTTGTCGTTTAGATCGAATTGGTTTTTACGTCTTGTCAGGTGCATTCTGTCTATATCAAATTTTAATCTTATTATGGACTTTTTGGAAACCATATAAACGGCGTCGAGCAATGAAACGAAAAGATGAGAAGAATCGAGAAGATTTTTTGAATAAACTCGGTAATGGCGAATCATCCAGTGGCAAATGACGGCAACCAGCGGAACGCTTCATTCGACTTTTCTTTTGCCAATGTCAAGACAACTCCAAATAGCACACCACTTGTACTTGTATATCAATAAATATCTCTACCGATCTGAGGGACATGTTGACACCTTGTCACAGGGGAAAGCAATGACTTGATTAGATTAAGAGCATTCACAACTCATTCTTGTTTTGCGAAAAAATGATCGTCAAAATCAATTATATTTTCATTCATTCAAGAATAATTTTTAAAAAAAAGAGAGACAGAAGAACTTTCAATAGATACATAAGAATAGCTGTGAAGATATTTAATAATACATCGATCATGTATCACATTCAAGAAAAAGAGAGACAATATACTGTTCGATGATGATCATTACATTGAAGAAGAAGAAAAAACGAAGAGGGAAAACGAAACAACATCATTGTATGGTATTCGTTGATAGATTTGAACAAGAAAAAAAAAGACAACTGCACTGTTTCTTTTCCTTATTAATTGTGTGCCACTGCCAATTATTTTAAAATATATTCAACATGCATATTGAGATAAACCATCCTAGAATATGAGAAGGCAAATTGACTTGACAGATGAATTGATTTCGAAAGCACACGAATCTTACCAGTAGATAATATTAAATACAATGAAGGCAACAGGAAACAGGACTGCTGAAACAAGATCGACCTTAATTAAAGAAGTAAGTGAAAGGATGAAAACATGATTTTTCACTCACAAATTGTGCACTGTCACGAACAGGTTTAGCAGCTTTCGCTAACTGTGCTGGCTGTGACAAGACAACCTGTGGTGTTTGTGAAGGTGCGCTAGTATTTGACATCGTAGAATAATGAGAGTGTGAAGTAGTGGTGGTAGTTCCACCACCTAGATTTCTGTCGGCACCACTTGTTTTATGAACAAGCGTTTCCATCGTTTCAGCGTTACTTTGATGTGCATCGTCTTTCTTGTAGAAATGCACTTGAGCAAGACGATTGCCAATAACCTTGAAGACGAATATGAGTAAAAAATAAAAATTCGAAAAGGACAACAATTAGAATGAGCTAATATAGATGTAGAATGATAATATTGTGAAAATAATATATATGTACGTATATATATGTATAAATGAATGTGTACGTGTATATGTGAGAAAATTATAAGAAGAAGCTTTAGGAAAAATATTCTAGTGACCACTACGTAAGAAAAAAAATTCAATTGATTTACTCTCTCAGCAGCAAAAGATGAGCCATTCTGTAGTTTTTGTATCAGAGTGACTTTTGGTGGTCTGTCTGGATTTTTCCTCTATAACATATTGTCGAAATGTTTGTATCATACATATAGGCTAGATGTTCAAAGCAATGGAATGGCAAGATGAAGAACTTACTTCTTTGGAGAATCGAACTTGTTGTTTAAGTTCGCCTTTTCGAGCAATAACATTAACAAGTGCGTATTCAAGCAGGCCGGCAAAAACGAAAACAAGACATGCTGACATCCAGACATCGATGGCTTTTATATATGACACACGTGGCAATTGTGACCGAATACCTAAACATGAGAAAAAACTTTGGTTACATCGAGTTCGTCGTTCGGCTTTCGACACGGGGCGATGAGGGTCAAAGTCATAAGCAAGGTCTGTAGGCAGCAAGGTGTGTTCATATTCGGAGAGGAAATAAAACATGTCTTTCTGCCTGAGACCCATAAAAATAAGCAATCAAGCATTATAGCTGTGTATTTGATAAACAGAAGAAGAAAGGAAGCGGTGAGCACGGTGTGAACAGGTGTAAAATCAATAGAAATGATTTGTTTTCATGACGAGTATTTGAATTTTGCTTTTGTTTTTTTTTATAAGTTTTTCGTTACCTGAGCTTTGAGTAGTAACTGTAAGTACAGTTAAAAGACCGACTGAAATTCTCGCTGGAACCTGAATATAGTGAGTAGAAATAAAAGTGTGCTAGTCGACTTGGATTGTGCGACCTTACCGACTTATGATCGATCCAGAATGAAACAAAAGAAAGAATCACAATAAGCATTGATGGAATATAAACTTGAACTATAGAAATGTACCTTGCTCGAATGCATACTCGCACAAAACAAAGTTCACTAAACTCACCAAGATAATAACCAAATAAACGTTTCAAATGAAGAACAACGAGAAGGCATGTGAAACTGCCTAGAACATATCGATCGTTTAAGTAAATAAACGAGTATGATATTTGAAAAAACTTTCTTCATTTGTGTATACTTTGCTACTAACTCAGTCTAGACGATGATTGAGGTGCACGGGAAGTAGTTGTGTGGTGAATCTCTCGAAAGGAAAAGTACAAACAAACGGACAAAGAGTGCAAGCAGAAAATGCGCGCGCGTGTGTGTTGATGAGCTTGGACTACTCAAGATAAAGGTTCAAGGAAGAAAGAGAGAGAGAGAGATAGTTAAAAAACAATAAGAAAGAGAAGTTTTTTTTTGTACCTTCAGCCTTTGTTGTTACAGTAACAATGCTGAGTAGACTCAATAATGTTCGTGCAGGATGAGATTTATAGTCGATCCAGAATGCGATAAATGATAGAGCAACAATTAACGTTGATGGCAAGTAAAGCTGTTGTAAATATAAGTTGATGTTGCGTTGAAGAGCGAGGTGTACTTCGATACAAGCGAATTTTCCTACGAGTCAGTCGAGGAGAAAAGCAAACTTATTACATAAGAAAAGACATATCATGAAAAGTAACTCAAATGAAGAAAGTTTTTTTTTCCTTTTGCCTTTGTAAATCAAATTGACAAACAAAGAAATAGAAGCAAACCTGTTGCTGTCGTTCGATTACAGTATCTTGCTTCATGGTTACTCAAAACAAAATCGGGCATTTCAAGATCTTCATTAACTCGAATAGCACTGACATTTGGAGCTTCTTCCCAGAAAAAAGCCAAGTCATTTGTAGCAAAGCCATCTAGAGATAAACAAATTATTTGTCAAGTGCTATTAACATTCGCTTTTTAGTACGTACAACTGCCTATGTTAACTACACATGTCTGGTTATCAAGTGGGAATTTTTGTAATTTCATTTGACAATCAAGTTTAAGTAGAAGTCTACGAGAACGAATCAAGAAGCAATCGATTGATAATTGAAACATGAAAAGACTACCAACCTTTGACTATAGAGGACTTTGCCATCGCGATGAATACGAATCAGCCGATTGGGCACCGTTATGTCACTTCGTTTACCTTCTTTGGCATTCCGAAAGAATGAATCCGGTACCCAAATACGATCAATCAGCGAATAATGCAAAGTGATTATTGGTGATTTGATCGCCCAATCCGTTCCAGTATAATTCAACCTTGGATCATACCACGACTGGCGAAAAATGAGATCTGTATTATAATCCTGCAAGTTAATCGTAAAGAAATTTCGCTGACATTGTTATGCTAACCTTACCATATTAACTTCATTAATCGCTGATATGGTGTTAATATGAATCGTCATTGTTACATTACATGCTTCTATAAAGAATAAGGCAAAGTAATGAATGCAGAGATCGTTTGTAAGAAAAGATTTACTTCGTTGACTGAAGAACGGTCGAATACGTCGATCGTACCGACTTGAATTGATCAGTGTGTCGAGAAATTCTTCGACTGTATTAATAGTTGCATCATGCCGTAAATAATTTGTACTAGAAACAAGCGTAAAAAGAGTCATTAAGCACTGTAAATCCAAATAGGAATGCATGTCTAGTTGGCGATAAACGCGAGACGGTGGCTGATGGATTGACTTTAAATAATGATGCGTAGCATCAACCAACAGAAAATGAATAATGTAAATAACTGGCAAATACGAAGAATCTTAACCAAAAATGCAAGAAGAACAGCAACATCGTCTTGTCTCATACATAGATGATGTCCGATGTTCTTGATACGTGAATATTAATACCGATGACATTTTCAACGAAGGGAATATAAATAAATAGTTGACAAACGTATGGTTGTGAAATTTAATCTATTTTTCTAGATGTTTTTTTGATGGAAAGAAACAGAAGTTTTCGACGCCGTTTATCAGAGACATTGATACGTAATCTCGAAGAGAGACGACATCATCGAACAAGCTGGAGCCAACAGTAATAGTGGGCACAAACAACTGACAAATGATGAAATAAAAGAGAGAGAGAGAAGAAAAGCGGAAGAGGGAACAGTCGGCGAAGAAACGACGTCTTCTATTTGTCGTCGGACGAGAACGCTAATAGTAGAAGATCTGTCTAGGGTCCTTTGCTTTGATGAAATATTAAAAAAAGAGTAATTGAACAACAAATTAACTCTCGATTTGACATGTAAAGCAATGCTCTCCTAGTGCCTTTGAATAAAGCAAATTTTTATTCTACTCAATCAATCTATCTTACACATTACGTTTCCGATTCAACTCAAGGTCAATGAACAGGCAGCAGCATCAGTAGCGCTTCACATACTCTCATACACTTCCTATTGAAACAAGTTCTTTTTAATCGAATATGGGCTAGAATCATATTAATTAAATACAGACACGGCAGGAAAAGAAAAGAAAAGAAAAGAAAAGAAAAGAAAAGAAAAGAATGCTTTATGGAAAATTGAACAGGAATTTTTCAAATATAATGCGCTCAGTCAGCAGGAAGTTGCTTACATGAAACTTTCTCTGCTGATACGAACTAATCGATCCACTGATGAGAAGCAAAGGAGCAATCAATCTCATTACCACCCGCATTTTTGTCGATCTTTCAATAGATTTCTTTATTATTTATGAAGTATGTTCATGCAAACAACTAATATTAACTCTCTTCCTATTTGTATATACGGGCAATTCGTATTCATTCTGCTTGTTGTTTATTAGTTCCACTTATCAATGCAGTATTACCATTTTGGTATCTAGAGAGATAGACAATGAAGCTTTATAATCGTATCTTCGCCGAAAAAGCATTTAAGTGTCATACTATCTCTTCTCTATATTAGCTTAGAAAAAAAACATTATAAAGTCGAAAGACAATGACAGAAAAGTCCCTCCGGCAAGGTGTTTTTTTTCGATGTAGATCAATTTACTCTCGACTGACGAGGGACGACAACAAAGCGTCTATACATGTACGATCTGAGGAGGGGAAAACGCCTATCAGACATGTGTTGACAAATTTGAAAGCGGTTAATTAGGAAGTTTTCCACTGGTGTAACTATGATATACACTCGGAAAGCACACAAACAAGATTCTATGCCTTAAAACGATTTTCTCTTACGCACTCGAAACTTCCGCTTGCCGCCCTATTCTCGGGAGCTTGTTATTTACAAAATTTGAACTGGAAAAATTCAAAGGTAGAAGGCAAATTAGTGAGACCCACCTTTCCACCGGCTCTTCGTGGGTTTTGCTCGCCCACATCTCTTGAGATGCGACTGGTTGATATAATAGACAAGTGTTCAAGACAAGTAAAATCAAAATGTTGAGAAGAATCATTGTTGTCGATGATTAACATTGCCACTCCGAAGCTTATGTTAAGACATTCTCTAACTATTCATTACTGTTGCTGCACTACTGCTAACAACATTATTTCTTCTATATTTTTCTCTCTACCCTTCATTCCCTTGCTTCTCCCTTTCTCGTTTCTCTATTCATAGCCACCGTAGCAAGTTTCTTTCTTTTAGTATCACTTCTGTAATATAAAAAAAAAGGATTTTTAGACGTGCGTGTCGATCAGAGCTTTGTTTTTGCTCTCCTCCATCATTTTCTCTTCGTATTAGATAGCTTTTCCTCTCTCTCCTCTCTCTCTCTCTCGTTTTCTTTTCCGCTTGTAACTTTCTTCTTTTTATTATGCTGGAACATCAAGCTCCAAGGCAATGTACATTCACACCCACCCTCTTCAACAGTTTACAAACAAACAAAAGCTATAAATAACGACCCCGCCGTTCTCATACAACGTTCACTTTCTTTGTTGTCTAAATAAAGATTAAGATTAATAATTTCTTCTGTTTAAACAAGGAAAACGATCCAGAGAGAGAGAGAGCAGACTTTGGACTCGACATTTGGGCTCTTTAACAAATGGGAAGACGATGATGTCGACGAAAGAGAACGTAAATGAATGTAATAATCGCCTGTAGAGGAGATTGAGCGACTCATAAACAACATCTTCTATATGATTTTCCTATTCCCTCAAGGCAAATCTATTTTATACGCCTGTGCTTTCACCGTGATTAGAAAAAAAAGATAATGAGTTTCACAATATTCGATTTCTTCGACAACATGTATATTGCACACAGAATAATCATTGTTGTTGTTAAACAAACGAAAGCATTTTGAAAGATAAATGAAATTTTCTTTGATCTTCATTGCTCATTCAGATCCTATTCCATAATCGAATTTCTAGTTATTGATGTTGTTCTTGCAATCACTAACCGGATGTGGAAGCTTTCTGTTTATACACTCTTGGTGCAAGATATTACGCCCTTATTTTTAGTACTTTGATTAGCATAAGAATGTGTATAAAGACGTATTGAAGACTCACAATTAATTCAATGTTCAAAAAAAAAAGAATGAAAAGGATGGATGTCAAGGACATATTGTGAATCTCTTGTGCATTTCTTCAGATTATCAATAGAAAGAGTATATCGGAGAAAAAACTTTTCACAAACAGATCTCTTTTGTCCGAAGATCATCGGGAAAAGGAGGTAAAGGCGGGAAGAGGAAGAAAGGATCAATGCAAACTATTCACGCTCCCATGCACACATTGACTGGATTTCTCATATAATTGTAATGAACTGTAAGTCTCATGTTAAGGTGTACTTCTTTTCATAATAATAATAAAAAAAGTCGAATGATAATAGTGCATCTAGTTGCAATTGCATGTGTGCTAAATGAATAAAGCTAACCAGTTAGACTTAATTGCTAGTTTGTCTAATGAGGAAGGATGGATTGCCGCTATTAGATTTCATGTTCGAATATCTTTCACTCTCTTATTAAGGATTAGTTTAAAGGAAAAAACGACAAGATAGTGTGTGTGTTCAATGGCGTTAAAATATCCTGTTTGCATGTATGTCATCGGCCAAGCAACAATCGTATGAAAGGAAGAAGTTTTTTTTCTCACTTTATTCTTGGTATTATGATTATTATGATTACTTTAATTTGACATCCTACCCAACACTTCAGCTAATTCTGGCAAGAAATTGTAGTTCTACTACACAGTATGTCTATCGTGTAATTAGACATAGGGAGAGAGAAAGAGGAAGAAGTCGATCTCATGTTGAATTTTAATATTAACAATCATAATGATATAAGAACAAGATTAGACGAAGTGTTGCCATTATTCTCTCATTTGACTTGCGAACGAGTTATTTATGACAAGTTTCTGACATAACTTGTCGATAAAATTATCGACAGTATCAACCTTGTGAAACATTTTCTTCTTCTTTTTTTTTATTCCTATTAGTTTAACTAAGCTCGCATGCCTTGGGCACACAAGAATATCTGTAAATTAGATCAAGATTTTAACCTACCGATCAGATGATTGAGACCGACTCGGATCGATCATTTTTCTCCAAAGTTGGTGATTTGGATGACCGTCTTCTAGATCAGGTGTGTCCGTTAAGGTCGCTCCTACCGTCGTTGTTGTCGCCTTAGGAGCAGCATATGAACAAAAAACGAAGAATTGATTGTGAATCCAGAGTGTTAATGTAAGAAGCAATTGCATGAAACGCATGGCACATTACAACAGAAATAATGACTGACGATTCGTCAGCCTGGAGATGGATCATCCATCCATGTCATTGATAATGTTCGTCCATCTAATGAGTGTTTAAAGGAATTTATGTTTATATATACCGTGGAAGGAGTCGTAAAGCTAGCAGACGTGAATAAAGAGAGGGAGACAGGGAGAGGGAGAGGGAGACGCACACAGAGAGAGAATGAGAGAAAGAAAAATGAGGAGGAAAAACTACGAGAGATCAGAAGAAAAAGGAAAAGAATAGAGACGAGCCGTAACGATATATCACGCATTACGTGGTAGATTTGTTATTTTTTATTTTCAGCTTTTTGTTCATTTCCACATTTCTATTCTCTTACGCTCTCTTTCTCCTGTCTACATTTTTCTCCCTAGATATGTCGCGACTCATGCAGTAAAAAAGACATAATCTTCCTTCTCCTTCTTCATCTTCCCTTTTTTTCTGTTACGCCTTCTGCTATCAACGCTGTTAATGATAATAGGCGGATGGTGGTGATCCGTCTTTCTTATATAAATATAAACGTCTAGTGTCATCAAAGTATATCTTGTCTTTCTTTCTTCGTTATCGCATCGATGAGTTCATATTCTTTTACTTATTATTAATTATTCGGACAAAATATTCCATCACACGTTGGCTTTTTTATGCTCTGCCTCTCTCTCTCTCTCTTCCTTCATCCTTATCTTATTCATCATCTTAGCAAATGAATACATGAGAGATTATATTTACCATTTAATTTCCTCTCTTAATCTCGACGTAATCAATAACACAAGGGAAATTTGTCCTATTCACCAAAGTATAACAAACAAAAACCTATTGAAATAATATTCGAAAAAGGAAAGATCATGACTGTCCCTCGAAAGTCAATGTAAACATTGCTATGATTAATCGAAGGAGATATATCTCTTTCGGAAGGAAAACGACAAAAGGCCGATTGAGGAGATGAATAACAAAAGGTTTTACTCTTCGACAAGTGATTGATAACTTCGGCATTTTGCCATAGTGTTTTCCATGAAAAGATAATTAACCATCGTCGTAATGCTAAGGAAAACGAAAAACGACAAATTTATGACACTAATTCATATTGAATATGACAGAAAATGTGTTAAAGTAGGAAAAGAAATCATTTCGAAGTCTTTGATCAGAGGACTGACAAAGAGTGTTATACAGCATTGCTCCACGGAACGCGTCACATAATTTCATTGCGAGGGCAACGTGTGAAAAAAGAAATCGCTTTCATTCCATTGCCGCATCATAACTCGACGATCGAAGTCAATCGTTTGTTCCGTTTCGCTGTTGCTCGTGTCTGTTGAGTTCAGCGGAAATCAAGAGGCGTTGCAACAGATTGAGAAGAAGAAGAAGAAGAAGAAGAGAATTCGGATTGTTGCAATTGAAATAATAAAACGTTTTTTTCTTCTTTACAGTCAATGACAATTACATCTCGTCGAACTACGTCGTTCCAAGAAATTTTTTTCTTCTCATTTACCATGTTAATCATTCAGTTGAGTTGTAATTTACTAGTCGATCCCTTAGGAACTACAAACATCAAACATAGTTCGAGTGGACGATTAACATATGATTATCTTCATTCGAATGAATGTTCTAAGTATGTAATAGACAATCTTGATGTAGAGAGAAAGTCTTGTCGAGATGTTCACAAATAACTTTCACAATCGTACCAGTAGAGTAGAAATTTCTATCGAAATAACGACCTTCGCAAAACAATCATCAACTTTTCTTTCTTCTCCGAACAATTTGTTGTGTCGTTCGTATGCAATCGATTTAAAGACACATCTGGTTAGTTTCAATCGAAAAGACAAACTAGTGCCCAAGTTGTTTCATCTAACTTCCCGGTTATTGACATTGAAAAGCAAGTTACATCCGGTGTTGATAATAATATTGTACTACGTTCTTGCAAATAGAACAAGACTAATCTTACCCGATGTAATCTTTCATCTCCGAACTAATGTAATCCCATATTCAAATGATATCCTGTCGATAGTATCTTTAACGAAGGAGAATTCAAAGTTTCCAGACGTGAACATATTGAATCAGTTGTTTGTTTTAGGAATATTTAGCTAAGCAATTTTCAGTCAAGTTAAAAGAGAGTAGCATTCGAATTGAATATACAATATCACAAAAGAAAAAGAAAACGAGATCGGTTAGTTTTGATGTTGTGGCTCGGAGGAGTCAGTAGAGGTGGCAGTTGCATCATTATGTGTCGGTGCATGAACAGTTTGTTTTTTGATTTGCATTCGGTAGACATACGTATCCTCAGTGGATTCGACTTGACCGGAATTTAGATCGAATGATCGACCTTTTGTTGCTAATGGCGAGGCAGATGGTGCAGGACTCCACCATGACATAAGATCTAAGTAAGAACATAAGTCAGATGTGAGGATTCTAATCGATGAAACCTTACTTGATACTAATGGCAATTGTCGTAGAAGACCATCCTGAGCAAGTAGTTGCAGGTTTTCATCCTCAAGATCTTTTTGAGCTTTGACAATACCCTCTTTGATTTTTTCGGCCATATCTTCGATGTATTTCAAGGAGGTTTCAATTTCATTTCCAGCATGGGCGATTTTCTGTAACAGAATTTCCAGATCTTCACGTTTGCGGATCATACCTAAACGCAAATAGAGCATTGAGTCCAATTCATCTGAGCCGCCGCCTAGAGAAAATGCCGAATCATTGCTTTGTAATTGCCGTGCTAGTTCCGATTGAATACGATTGATTTCATACATTGATGTTTCATTCATATCAGCCCGGTTGATCGTACTTGGAATATATCGAACGGCGCCAATACCTGCCCAATTTGGTATGGGAATGGCGACCAGGTTTTCATGTTTTGCAATCGATGCTAATAGATTGACACGTGCTGTGATGGTCGCGAGAAGAATATCAGTGAAGCGTTGAAGATCGTCGAGAAATGCTCGCATGTCATCCTGATCAATATTATCAATAAGATGTTCCAGTGGTGCGAAGCGAAGTACATGGGCGGGAAGTTGATCCTTTGATTTGACACTTTGAAAATGAATACTTTTGAGTAATTCTAAATTCATCTTCGGATATTGCTGAGAGAGTTTATCGAATAGCCAGAGAGTTAAAAGGTCAAGGTAACCAATGAAATCATCATTATTTTCACACTAAAAACATATAACAGAGATAATATTGTGCTCATTGTTTTCTCTTTCAAATCGCTAAATAGGAAACAACACTGGCTCGTGAAAATCAATTCTAATTGAGTAACTCTATTGTCATTCATATCACTTCAACATCGTTTCGGAATGGAAAGAATAGAACAAAAATGAGTGCCTAATTTAACAGAAACGTACACAAGGTTATTGCCATTCCGAAACGACATTGGACTGTTATTTCCTCAAATCAGTGGCAAGGTCTTACTTCACCGAATAAACCATCGGGTTGAAAACGAAAAACAACGACCGATCGCGGTAAATCACTATCAGGCGCGCCGTCTGAGCAAACACGTGAATATGTGTTGTGTTCTCTTTCATGTTCATCATTCAGTATTCGTATATGTTTCGTTTGTTTCAAACGCGTAAACAATAAGTCTGCCAGTTCGAATGATTGCTTCATATGATGGAGAAGATTTTCGTTTGAACAACGTTGACTAATCGACCAAACGCTAAGAAAACTGATCGATGGACTATGGAGAATAAATTCATCGAGTGGATGAACTTTATTTGACGAATGATTGTCTTCAGCTTGTTTTTCATTGTTCAATGGTCGAAGAAAACATGTTAAATAAGGGAGATTTTGTATACCTAACAATTTCATTATATCTATTGTTAAACTGTCACACATGATGCTAACGTTGTCGTTCAATGCTGGTAGCAATGCTAATGATCCTAGAAGATCGCCAATAACATGCACCCAAACGTCATATTGTTCGCACAGAGTTTTGATCTTCTTCAGATCATCACATCGGCCTAAGAATGGTGATCCTAAAAGTAGAAGACAGCATAGTGATCAAATGTGTTTTCATGCGAATGAAATTTACCTGCATTGGCGATGACCATGAAAGGATAAGATAAAGTATCATTAGCATCGCGCTTGATCAGTTCTTCTAATTGTTGAAGGTCGATCATATCATCATGTGAATTTCGGTTTTGGACATGTTCAAATTTGATATTCGATATCGACGATGTTAAATCGAATTTTAAATTCGGCTCGAAATCCGTTGCGATATAAATAACGGCTTTTTTATATTGATCAGTTTTCAATGCATAGCGAATGACGCGCTGGAATGCTTCGGAATAATACGTTGAACAAAGAATGGTCTGACTATGAATATGAAAGAGTTTTTCGCACCACTGAAGAATTTCGTTCTGATATTTTGGTAAAACCGATGTTTTGACATGATACGGAAGTGTATCGAAGAAAGCGGCTAACTGAAATAAGACGAAGTAAATGCATGGAAAAGATTTGTTTATGTTTTGTTTCTAGTTACCACTGCGGCATCGCCAACACATTCTAAATATCGATTCCAAACAAGATGAACACATTGCCGAGCTTCGTCATCTTCATGGAGATAAGATAAACAATGGGACATAAAGTCAGTTTTCAGTCGATTGTTCAATTCAACGATTTGTTCTTCATTAGCAATTGGCAAAGTTTTGTTTTCCATCTCGGCTTGTTCGGATGTCATCTGAAACGACGGCCTTGTATTACTTTTTGCTATTTGTTGAATGAGTGTACACATGCACACATTTAGTTGTTCTCTTTTCTCGTATTAGAGGTAGAGACAGAGAGAGAGAAAATGAGGACGTGGCAACTGAGAGAAGAGCAAAGGTGACAAACACGTGTGTCTCCATTGGAAGAAAAAAATACCTATCGTTCATACAGAGTAGACAGTCTTCTCCTACAATTTGTTATATATATGCACCAACCGTAAGAAAGAACGGATAAAAAACAATAAGTAACCTATAGAAAAGTCTATTTTACTGTTGTTCTCCTG